CTATGTTTTGAAGGCCTAGGAGTGATTCTCACCGATATTTTAGTCGTTTTGTACGCGGATCACGTGAGATTTCACCCGTGTCGTCCCTATATAGAGAGTCTACCGACTCTCTGATAACTGATCAAGGGTAGACTGCTGTTGGGTCTCACGAATCTCCAATGTCTACAGTATTTCACATGCAACTGTGGACTTGCTAATAGCTAGGCTGAATCTGATTTATTTGTGATTTCTTTCACTGGCCCGTGTCAGACTCTCCGCGAGCTATATATATACTAGCTAGCAGGAGACCACCATACTAATAGCCCATCCCATCAATTAGCGGTATCACGCATGCGCAGAACAAATTAACAATCGTTCACTCCTATACTATTATACTGGACAACAATCATTCACTCCCACTTATCTCTGTTTCCAGTTTGCAGAACTTCTGGGAGCTGGGCTTTCTATGGATGACTGTTCCATTACATTCTGCACTGAATCCACACCTGAACATGTTCTGCAATTTGGCAATGTCCATTGTTCGGAGGTTCCACTGTACATGTTTGCAAACTATGTGCTATTTAAGTTTCAACAGTGACATGTTTGCAAACTATCGTGTGCTATTCAAGTTACGACAGCCTATTTCGATGGATGGAAATGGTACACTACGTAAAATTGTGTGTGTCCTGACCCGTGAGAAAAGGTTAAAGGGGAGAAGATTTTATAGTTGTTGTTGTGCGCAAATGGCTTTTGAGGTAAGTTAGCTGTAACTGCAACATACTCCACGTCGCCAAAACACCCCTCAATAAAATTGTCGTCAAATGTCATTACGGACCATAAACAATTAAACTACCCTCTCCTCATGTGGGGGCCTTCTGATCTTTGAGGGTGGACAGTGTAAAGCTACCCAAATTGTGCAATTCTACCTCATTTGTAGGACACTGCTGTCACCAGTGGACCACACCTAGCCTGTTGACAATAATATCAACAGTCATAATTATCTCACGTATATTCATGCCTCCCCAGTAGGTAAATTACATGCATGTGTGCAAAAAATTACATGCATCACTGCACAAAGCTTAACAACCCTTTGAATTGTATTGGGTAGTGGCAGAAAGTTCTACAGACAGTTACATTGCGGTTTGATGGCTATGTTATAATTACTTGTAGCCACTCTGGTTTGGCACGATGCACAGTTGTAGGAGCGCGGGAGGTTTGCGTGGGTGGCTATGACTCACTGCTCAGAGGTGTCTCAATATGGAATCAGAATACAGAAGTGTAATTGCATTCTGTTCTTGGTATGATGAAGTTCATTTCCTGTGCTCACCCACTGATATTATTTGTAGTATACGCAAGTGGACGCCAAAAGGCCACGGCATCGTATACATTAGGGAGGAGTTTGGCATGCATTTGTAGTTTGCCGCGCATGGGCCAACTGCATACACTGTGGGTGCGTTCAGTGTCCAGGTAGCTACACATACCCCTCCACCCACAGGTAGATCCCACAGTGAAACTCAAGAACATTGGTGAATGTTTATGTGATAGCAAACTGGTATGTTTCTCAGTTACCAGTTATATAACTTGAGCGGTGGATCTATAGATGCTACATTTTCTGATGTGGAAGGAGGAGGATATAAATTCCTGTTTGTGGGTAAGATTACTTCTATATCACATCCCACTATGTGCTCAATCATCGTGAGAAAGGTGCAAGGAAAGAAGTATTCATTCCTGACCGTGAAAGGTATCGGCTTCAACAAGAGTGGATGAGGCATCCTGGCTCGCGTCAAGTCGGCGATCACTGCTGAGACAGTGATAGCTACGTACGTCTCTCTGGACTGGCCATTGTGGCTCATGAGCCACGATCGAGTAGTGCGTGTGCGCATGATGAACACCGCCGCGCCCCCACGTACGCGCGGCGGCTATAAAAAGGAAACTACAATTTTCATTCGCAAGAGTGTGAGACAAAAAAACAAAAGTGCTGCGCGCTGCTGGTCGCCGCGCCGCGAAAGATGACGAAGTCTCAGTGCCCTTCAAAGGGTCTGGACCCTGTTCTGGCAATGGTAGCACTATTCCTGCTGCCTCCTTCACTGGTGAACGGACTTCACTGCCCGCTACCCGTCTCCAATAGTAAGCACTAGCTACTTGTATAGCTGGGGCTATTGTTTGCTATATCGGAGCGGAGCTGCAGCTAACCCACGATTACTCCCGATCATTTTCAACCATTCAGGTGGTATTACTCAGTATGTTTCTCTGTGTGCCATGTGCTCCCACAACGAGGCTGCAGTCAGATGGAACAGAACTGTTGGTGATCACCTGTCTTATAGAAACTTCTATATGAGATACGAATGCTTCGACAGCGAAGGAAATGTAGTGATACAAGAAGATGTGAGTAAAATATGTTTGATGTGTGTGAGGCTTTTAGGATTGACTATTATTATAATGGATTTTATTTAACATGCAAAAGTAGCAGGCTAAAAATACTGTTGTGCTAACTTTGATTGACTTGGCTGCATGGTTATAATTGACAAGTAATCAAAGAGGCACTCCCATAACGAAGGGTTACTCTGTATTTTTTTACTGAGTCCCCCTGCTGTTATGGTGCATCACTAAACTACATAATCGGGGATCTCTTAGTAGTAGCCCCTATAGCGAGGGTTGGTTTGTCTGCTGTGTCGACGCTTATTCTGGTACTACAGGCTACGAGGCGGCCGATTAGCGATACCAGCGGTTTCAGAACTACGCGAGCCAGAAAATGAAAAGGGCGATTTTCCTGAAACGACTGCGGTCGAGAGATATGTCGTGAAAAAAGCTACGCATAATCGCACTGGGCTTACCGCGACCTGATCCGCTCGCTCTGTGTACCTTGGGAGCTCAGGAAGTCACAACGAATGGCATTTATCGACTTCCGCATGCTATCTACTACTGTAGCTAGCCAGTGTCAGACTCTCCGCGCGGGAGACCGCGAGTAAACGCGTACAAATAGCCCAGCGCCCATTAGCAGTATCACGCATGCGCAGTTCGCCAAGGGTTTGCACTTTAGAGTCTTTAAATAGCTTGTTTCTTACAACAGAGAAGTGAAGATGATGAAGAGGACTGCCCATGGACTGGTACTATATACCCAGCTAGGAGTGAGACTCTTGTGGACAATAATCACCCCTTTGGAATTGCTTCAGCTGGTCGAGAATTGAGCAATGGGACAACATGTAATTTTAAACTGAAATATCGTATGTCAGTTGGTAATGGAAATGTTCAATATGCTGAAAAACTGTCTTCCTGCACAGGCAAGTGCATAATTACGATTGTTGCTGTATTTTGTGATGCTAAAAATGATCTGTGTTTCAGTTGGTGTAGGGTGTGAGGGAGAAGAGTGCAGTATAGACAGAGTGTGTACATTCAGTAATGGAACACAGGGAGTAGAGGAGGGTCTGTGTACAGAGTGCTCTTGTTCAGAGGGATACAGTGGACCTGCATGTGCAAGTAAGGGGGTGTGTTTGGCAAGGGCACTAATTCCCTGGTATCAGAAGTAATTGTGATCATGTAGAAGCCACAGGTTGCTTTATAATTATACGTGCTCTTTTCATGCATGCCAAAATTCTCCATCTCAGTTAGTTACAAATTTTGGTGGGGTGACCTATACGTCAAGAAGTTGTTACCAAATATATATACACGTTCCGTAGTAGATATATAGTCAGAGCGAGCATTACCTATGATTATTCAGCATGTCCAATAGATGCCTACAATGCTATGTCAAGGTTAAAATATAAACCCTTTGTACACAGATATCAACGAGTGTGCTGGGAGAAATGCATGTGATGATAATGCAGACTGTTTTGATAGTGATGGTAGTTACTGGTGTCAGTGTCTGCCAGGATTCCAGGGAGATGGATACAACTGTACAGGTCAGTTTCTGCAAAAAAACGGTGGTGCACAACATTATAACAGTAGTGCTGAACAGATATTGATGAGTGTGAGAATGTGACATGTGGTGAGAATGCTGAATGCCTCAATACTGAGGGGAGCTACAGCTGTGGGTGCAAGTCAGGATTCACTGGAGATGGATACAACTGTACAAGTACGCTAGAAAGAGAGTCAGGAAACAATATCACTACTATCATTACACAGATATCAATGAGTGTGCTGGGAACAGTACATGTGATGATAGTGCAGACTGTGTTGATAGTGACGGTAGTTACTGGTGTCAGTGTCTGCCAGGATTCCAGGGAGATGGATACAACTGTACAGGTCAGTCTCTGCAAATTACTTGGGTTTCAATTGACTAACTTGTCATTACAGATATTGATGAGTGTCAGAATGTGACATGTGGTCAGAATGCTAAGTGCAGAAATACAGTGGGGAACTATAAGTGTCAGTGTGACTCTGGATTCACCGGAGATGGATACAACTGTTCAAGTATGTTGTGGTGTAGTGATGTGGCAGCTGTGGCTTAATCTAGCAGATATCAGTGTTCTGATTATTTTACTTCAGTGTGGTTAGTAGTAGTACTGACTTAACTGTTGTGGCTTATACCATTCACTTTTTTCTCCAACAGATATCAATGAATGTGTTGGGAGCAATGAATGTGATGATAATGCAGCCTGCCATGATAGTGTTGGTAGTTACTTGTGTCAGTGTCTGCCAGGATTCCAGGGAGATGGCCACAGTTGTGCAGGTTAACTGTAACATTTTATATCCTCCCTTATTGACCATCACTTCTTGCATATGCAGATATCAATGAGTGTAAGAATGTGACATGTGGTGAGAATGCTGAATGTCTCAATACTGAGGGGAGCTACAGCTGTGGGTGCAAGTCGGGATTCACTGGAGATGGATACAACTGTACAAGTAAGAAGTACTGCACTTTATAGATTTTCCTCCCAATTCTGTGCTTTTGGTAATTGCAGACATCAATGAGTGTCATAATGTGTCATGTGGGGAGAATGCTACATGTACTGATGAAGTGGGAAACTACAGCTGTGAATGTGATTCAGGATTCACTGGAGATGGATACAATTGTACAGGTATGATTCATTCTTGTACAAAGCAAACAGTATATTATCATGGTGGCATCTCTAGACATTGAAGAGTGTCATAATGGGAGCATCCAATGTCCAAAAGGCTCACATTGTTATAATTTGCCTGGGAGCTATGAATGTAAATGTGAAGCAGGTCTTTTCATGGATGGGGACACGTGTACAGGTATAGTTAACTATTTCGACGCACTCTAACTTCAAGCCTAGATTACACTGCCTATAGATCTACATTTACAGTGTCATTGTTAGAGAAGGCGGCAATCATCACGAACTATATATACATTAATCCCTGATTGTTGTGATTCTGACATAGCTGTCAGTGCTATGGACCTGTATCTATGTCAACCTGCCTATAAAGCAGCACTTCGATAGAGTTTTAGCATGCAAACTCTCTCTCGATACAACAGTCAGTCTGCTTATGTTCCAAAAACGATTGATTGCTGTCTGTCTAGAACCAACAGATCCAGTAGATCCAGTCACGATAGTGGCAATAGCTGTTTCTGCACTTGTCTTTACACTGATTGTGATACTACTCCCCATTGTGCTGTGTCTAAGGATACTTCGGTACGTTTCTATGTATTTGTGGTTGGTAATGGAGATATAGAAGAGTGCAAATTATTTTTGTTATGATTTATTAACCTGTGTTCGTCCTGCAGACCAAAAGATATTACGTTTGATGATCTGACAGTGAAGGTACGCCAACAACTGCACTTTTTATGTTTTTTAGGCAAATAGAATGAGTTAGTAGCTAGACACGTAAGAAGTGTCGGCCAAACTGGAGCGACCCTGTGCCCTTAAAATATTATTTACTTTGTGTAGCTATAGGGAGGAGCACGAGGCGTACACCATAGGGACAACTGGTTGTATATATTATATTTTCACTGGGTTTTGAATAAACGTTTCCCTACAATGCACATAAATAGCTCTAGTGCAGGTCCCTCTGACTGGGCCTGCAGTGACCCACATTTATTATGTCATTTATTGTGTTCAGGAAATAAACCCGTTCTACAGTCCCAAATTGAGGGGACAGTCTATCATGTCGATTCACAGCGAGTACGAATATCTGTGCACATTGACACCCAGTCACTCGACTGATGAACCAATTGAACAGCTGCTGGAGAACGGAACCGTTAAGGAAAACGAGAAGGACCCTGTTGTTAGTTCTCATCATTTGAATGAAGATTTGAAAATGGTGCTGCCACTTGATAAAGACAAGTTACATGACAGCTTCCGGGCGTCCAGCTGTGTGTCAGGCAACAATGATTCACTCCCTTGCCCCTACATTGACGAGGAATCATTGGGTGGCCGTGGAACAGTGGATATTCCTCAGCGATTCAAGAATGAAGTTCATAATACTTCTGAAAACTCTACAGTGAGTCCAGTAGGTCCTCTCAACAATGACTCGTGCTCCACAGAAAGCTCTCTCTCTACATCTAAACAGCTCGATTCATCTGGTTCACACATGGTGCTTTCCTCAGGGTATGTTAAAGACAGCTCTGAGCCCCGCCAAAACTTAGTTATGGAGTCAGCGGCAAAGTGGGAGGAAATGGAGGACGAAGGGGAGAGAGGGGAAAAGGGGGCAAGGGGAGAGGTTGAAGACCAAGACGGCAGCAAAATCTCAGACCTCACTGGTGGCTACGTGTTCTCTGGCATTGAAATTGAACAAGAGAGTCTGTCAAACAGTGGTCAGGTCCACATTTTTACCACAGGAGGTGGTGATATTACTGAATGTACCAATGTTGATGATGAATCTTCGGTTGATCCCAACTGCATTCATGGCTCTTTGTATCATGCACACATTACACAATCTGATCACCCACACATCTCTCTATAGTAACTGCTCTTTGTTATATCAATTACGACTATGAGATAGCCCCCAGATGCATATATTATCATAATAACACTTGAAAAACCAATTTGCACACGCCGATTCCATTGTACGCACGGGGCATCAAGGCGTGCGTAAATACCCAGGTAATTTTTAGCGTGCAGTCGTTCACGCATGCTCCATAGACAGCAACACGGCATTCTTTATATACACGAGGCTATGGCGATAGAAAATGGGAGCTGTGGTCCAGGTGTTTTTAAAACCACAAATTTCGCCTGTTTGGTCAAAAGTACAAGGCATGTGCACATAGGCATGCTAAATTTCCTTGTGTAAACATGGAGTACCTATGAATTCACCTGTTCTAAAGGCTGGACGTCACATTCAAAACCCTTTGTGTTCGTGTGTTAAGGTTCAACCCTATTCTGTGCAGGGCTCCATTTATAGTGACTGGTACATGTGCACGAGAATGCCAAATTTGACATCACTACATACATTCCTTAGCTACACAACATAGCTACTTGCCTTTGCCAAACATAAGATTATATAGTGCACATACAGGTCCCATGCTAGCTTCCCATATAATGGATGGGAATGTCTAATACACACATAATTGCCTTGGCAGAGGAATGCAAGTGAAAAATTTCATTAAAAAGAAAGCCGCCATGCCATCTAGACGAAATTGTGCCGAACAAACAAATAGGTGGGTTCGATTCGCTCCTCAATTTAATAATGATCACTGTGCATATTAACACATCTCTTAGCATCCAGTGTGCTATAGCCTGTTCAAAGACCATGTAAGCTATTGCTGATAGTGCCAATAATAGGGTAAGTATATACTGTGGTCACCAGAAAGTGGCCATGTTGAGAAAATTGAGAGTGTAGCTATTACCTAGGAAAGGCTGTCAAGTAAAGTAGCTATGGACACCAGACAGTGAGATCATCTTTGTCCGCCTCTGGGGCAGATTGCTGTCCTTTATTATGGAAAAGGTACTTATGGGTGGTGGTAATGTTAGATGGTGATGAAATTTCCTTTGGATGATTACTGTTTTTGCCTGGGTGCATGGTTAGCATGGGAAGGTTTGTACTGTCACAATTATAATAAGAATGGTGGCCGATTGTGTCCAGTTAATGTAGCACCGGTATGGCATAGTTGCTGGTCTTCCCTTGAAGTGATGATGTATACCTCTTGCTATGTGTGTTCCCAAGCAACCTTACTCCACATTGCCTTGAAATGCCACTGTTTCAAGAATTTAGTGGGAACGCTCATTATTATTCTGCCAAAGACAAATAGGCTTTCGTGGTATTACAACTGCAAGAGAGTTCCAGTGGATCTTTTCCAGCTAGCAACTCACTTCACAGAACATATCACATCTCTGAGTGCTGCCACCAGCTGGTCTTCAAGTGATGCACCATGATGTGTCTCTCACTAAATCAACCTAGTACTCAACATTGCTAATTAGCCTACACCGCATTCTCACATATAACAACATGGAAATGTGTGAAGCTGAACTCATTTTTAGTAACTATTATACTTTTGTGATTATCAAACAATGCACCAATGTCTAGGTAGAGAAATTATACATTGGGCATTGGGATATAAATGTGCGTTTTGGCAGTAATTTGTGATTGTGTATTATGAACTCCATCACACAATACAACAAAAATATAATATAAATATGAGTGTGTAGGTTAACAGAGCTGAATGGCTGGTATCCGTCTTGTATTGTGCTAGATTGTACGGCAACACTACAGTTATTCGGCTGTAGTGGAGCTATGTCTCTTGGGTAACATTGCAAATTTGTATATACCACAGTCTAAATCACAAAAAGGGTGGTAGTTATGCTAATGCAGAAGTTGATTTTTGTTGTGTGACATGCATTAGCAATGTGTCTCTTGGCACTGCACGCGCGTGCCCACGCACGCATGCATGCTGGTTGCATGCTCCTGCGCCGCGTATAAAAGTGGCTGCACGGGCAATGCGACTAGAATGCGCGCCGCCGGGATGCCTGTGTCTCGGCCCAGTATATCAGCTGTGGCCCCTGCGAGGGCTACTGCGCTGGTGGTTGCGGCACTGCTCCTGCTGGTTCCTCGCCTAGCAGACGGAGAGCTCTGCCCGCTACCGGACCCCAGCAGTGAGCATTTAGCTATCCTGCAAGACAAGGCCAGCTAGCTATGCAGGAGCGTTGGGTGACCGAATGATCATCCTGATAATATTACGCAGCCACGGCTTTGGAGCATCCGAGCCTTTCACGCATTTTCTCTTGCTATTCCCAAACACCATTCAGGTGACCTCAGTCAGTATGTTTCTCTGTGTGCCATGTGCTCCCACAACGAGGCTGCAGTGAGATGGAACAGAACTCAGGAGACCAGCCAACTGTCATACAGCGCATTCCGCATAAGATATGAGTGTTACAATGCAAGCGGACATGTACTGATACCCGAAAAAGTAAGCACGATAGTATAATTCCACAGCAGATAAATATAGTAGCTACAACATTACACTCACTTGTCATGCAATGTATAGATACTGGGCCCTCGGCTGATTGGTGGGGTGAATACATCAGATTAAGCGTGTTGTTGAGATTTGAAAAGTGACTGCAGCTATATAGATCACGAACTCACACACGATTGGGCACTCCATTCACACACCGCATGCTTTGTCAATTGCTTATGTACGTATATACCATTTCTAGCTATAATAGTGAGAATTCAACCATATTGATGTTTTCTCTGGATTTTTGGTTTGATAAAACCCATGGCCTCCATGCTCATAGAGTAGCAACTTTTAAGCTACATCACTGATAGGAACTAACCTTTCCGTATTACAGAAGGATAGAGATGAAAAAGATGACTGTCAATGGACTGGTACTATATACCCAATTGGGGGTGACTATCTTCACTTCGGCATTGCTTCAGTTGGTCAAGAATTGAGCAATGGAACTGGATGTAGTTTTACACTCTCTTATCGTGTTAAAGTTGGCATAGAACGGGAAAAAGGTCACATCAAACTATCCTCCTGTACAGGCAAGTGCTTGAGGTATTATACTCAGGATAAGGAGTATTGAAGATACATGTTATTTCAGTTGGTGGAGGGTGCGAGGGAGAAGAGTGCAGTATAGACAGAGTGTGTACATTCAGTAATGGAACACAGGGAGTAGAGGAGGGTCTGTGTACAGAGTGCTCTTGTTCAGAGGGATACAGTGGACCTGCATGTGCAAGTAAGGGGGTGCACTTGGTCGGTGCACGAGCAGTGCATTGTGCAAATAAGTACATAAGCAAGAGGTAATGACATAATGCATATACCATGTCTTGCGACAAGTAGTCGCCAACAAAATTAAATGTCAAACAGCAGTGAATAACTTTGTATAATGGGGGTTCACTCTTTTATAATAGATATCAACGAGTGTGCTGGGAGAAATGCATGTGATGATAATGCAGACTGTGTTGATAGTGACGGTAGTTACTGGTGTCAGTGTCTGCCAGGATTTCAGGGAGACGGATACAACTGTACAGGTCAGTCTTTCATACACACCATTAGCATTCCCCCCAATGTAAGCCTTTTCAGATATCAATGAGTGTGAGAATGAGACATGTGGTGAGAATGCCGAATGTCTCAATACTGAGGGGAGCTACAGCTGTGGGTGCAAGTCAGGATTCACTGGAGATGGATACAACTGTACAGGTAGATATATGAATAAAGTACACGTGTGTGAATTATGCATTGAGAGAGGCTGCATAAGATATTTTCTTTACCTCCAGATTTCGATGAGTGTTCAGCCGAAAGCTTGTGTCCAATTGGCTCACAGTGTAATAATTCGTTTGGGAGCTACTTATGTGAATGTGAACCAGGTCTTGCCACGGATGGTGACACTTGTAAAGGTATGTAAGAACACCTGTTTGATATTCTGTGTATGCATGTACAAACCCTCTAAAAAGAAGGCCTATTCTGTGTATGGGTAGCACAGATCTATCTCTTGTTACTCTTCGCCTTCTCTTAAAATCAAGGCAGTAAAATTTACACAGGGCCATGCTCAATGGTGTGATAGAGGGACTAATAGCTAATGTCCATTGAACACTCCATGAAATCTTAGAAGCTTGCATGCCACTGTGGAGTGGCTAAACAAATTTTGGTGTAGTAGCTACAGTTGTGTGTGTGTGTCTCCACATTAATTTTGACTGGTTGGTAGAACAAGGATGTTGGGTCGAAGTAATTATCCCCATTACCTGGTCTCCAGGGGTGCATGAGTCTGCCCTTGCGTTTTTAAGGGATCAGACTGCCCTAACATAGGTCTGTATCATCAGTGAGGTGTCAGAAGCCAGTCCATCTATGTTGATATTATTGGCCTTATCACTACTCATACAAAAGGAGCATCGCAATGTGATTCTTTAAGTTCTTGTCACTTCACTTGATCAGCTCAAACAATGAATAATTGAGTGTGGAAAAGTAGACAGACACTATATACACAGCTGACAGCCAGACAGACACACCAACAATCCTGGCTTCCCTTGCACATCAAAATTGAGGACTCTCTATCCAACATGCTGTCACATTAGCTAAGATCAAGGCCTGTAGAGTAACAAAAAATATGTGAATGGGCACTTGATAGGACTAGAGAACATTTTTAGGGTTCAACCTTGCACAAAGAGAGTAATAACTAAGGCATTCAGTGTTTGAATGGAAGGATTCGTGGCTACTCCATGTTTACACAAAGACACTAGGAGGTTTCAAGGAACACAATGTAATTACCGAATAAGAACCACCCTTGGTAGGACTAATTCTTGCTTATATTATGCACTAGCAGAGCAAGCATGTGGACATGTCTTCCACAAAAAGCAATCCTGTCTTTTGCTATATAGATGCTGCACGTTTAGTCCCACTATACCAGCTAGCTACAAAATCCAGTTGGCTATCTGTGTCTCTGGTGTCATAATAACTTCCTCATCTGTTCCGGAAGACTGGTTTTAGACTGGGCAAAATAGAGAGTTGATGGTAGGGTGATCGGTTCTTGCAGATCACTGGTTCATTGTGTGGGTGTGTGCTAATGATGACGATATCAATTAAGGTGTGAATTATTATATCATCACAATGTGTTTAATAATAAAGTTGGGCGTAACTCCTCCATACACTGCTGTGTGGAGGACAAGGTAGGGTAGAATGGTTTGGAGAGCTACGTACCTAGAGCTGCGATAGTAGCTATCCACTGGGGAAGAGTTTGTGGCTAGTCAGATGCCAAGTCTCCCCTCCAGATAGGGATTATGAAGCCAAGTAATATGGTGTGATTACATTTTATGATTGTGTGGTGGTTTAATCCTCCTGCCAATAACATGAGGATAATTAATTTGTGGTAGCTTTGATTTGGATACATTATGATTAATGAGAGAGGCAATGGTCTGCGTATGTATATAGCATATCTCCCATGGGGAATTCCATATTATTTGACTCAATTAGCGCTATAAACACAGTGTGCAGTGATGCGTAGCAATCAGACAATGCTCAAAGTTATATAGTTTATTAAACAATGCCACTTGGAGCATTTGTGTTTGTTGATCAATGTCTGCAGATATAGATGAGTGTGAGATTGGGGACTGCATTTGCTCAGAGAACGCAGTCTGCATCAACATTTATCGCGGCTACGAGTGCCACTGTGCACCAGGCTTTACTGGAGATGGTCAGAACTGCACTGGTGAGGGTTTTATACATCCCTTAAATAGTCAACCGATAGCTAAGTTTGTGCAAAAAAGTCATGTGTAATTGAAAAACATAGTAGTACTATGGGTAGTCTTGCGAACCAGACAGTCCGGGAAACGATATAACTTTCCCCACATTACGTCTGGCCTGCGACACTATGCTATAGGCATGCATAAAGGAAGGGTGCATGATGCGCTGGAAGCATCTGTTCACTGAAATGGTGGTATATAGTCGATTGCCCAAAGCCAGGCTACCGTTTGCACAGGAAATCACGTTTGTAGTCGGAGGTAGTGGAGAGGACACAATGGGCTATGTTTGTCCCGTGTAATTGTGAGAGAGGATAGAATAGCAGGGAGTGTGGGAAAATGGCACCGACAGAGACTCACAACTCCATTCCTGCTTGCAATATTATATCCAGCTCAAGTTGTGGACAGTGCCTGAACAAAGGAACCAACCATACATAATATTGTATATAGTGCATAATTAACCCATCCGCTACTCATAATCAGTACTGTGCTCATCTCACATTTCCAACGCCATTAGAAAATTTGGCTACGCACTGTACATTCTACTTGTACTGCTGGGCTGTCACAGTACCAGTAGCTACATAGATCTAAGTATCTCCATAAATGTGGTATAGTTCTTGCAGCATTTTAGTGGCCATATAAACACCACTTGCTCTTTCATTTTGACCTAATGATGGTGCCTTGACATGTATTGAAATTTGATTGATTTTCCCGCACATTTTCTTCCTATAGTCTGCCATTTTCCTCTGCAGTTTCCGGTCATAACATTATTACTGCATCAACTGTAGATATTGATGAATGCAGCAGTGATGGTGATATCTGTGCTAACGATACGCACACGGTGTGCAAAAACTTTGTGGGCCAATACACATGTGAATGTCAAGAAGGCTACTACAGGGACATCAATGGCACATGCAGAGAAGGTAAGTCAGCTGGCGGCCCACACATGCATGCTTCTACCAACTTCTGTTTGCCACAGTTTGTCTAGTATGTTTCGTGGTAACTTCATCTGTTGTTTTTAGGTCCCAACACTGCCTTGATAGTAACAACTGCTGTTTCTGCATTAGTTCTGACACTGATTGTGGTACTACTGCTCATTCTGCTATGTCTAAGGATACTTCGGTATGTCTATGTTGCGAATGCCTCTAAGAGTTGCAATGTAATTGTGGCAACTAATTTTAGTCATTTGCCTTCATCTACTGGTAACTAATTGAGCCGTTTGGAGCACCATGCATCAATTTGGTGAGCGTATATAGAATGCTGCTCTTACGTCACTTCCCTTCATAGGAGATCTATGTACAAGCATTGAGAGTGACATGCTGGTATTTATACTAAGGAATGATCATATTGGCACACACGTATACTAAATTTGTGACTGTTCAAACCTCTGTTGACTCGAGACTTTTGTGGGTGGGCTTGCTGGGTGTTCAGATGATCAGTTTGGCTATGTAGGTGATGCAAAGGCTTGGCTAGGAGAAAGTGGGTGCGAAACAGTCAACCGTGCCATCCCTACATATTATTAAATGAGCCTCAAAAAAGTATTGCCAATTACCATCCTTTTTTCTCTATAGACCAAAAACTGTCACATATGATGATCTCACAATAAAGGTATATATATTTATAGATAGTTAAGCCAACAAATCAAAGAGCTATTAGTAATGCCTGCAGTGGGGTTCATAGCTGTAGTGAGTTCAGACTGTGCGCTTGATGACTTCCTATTGTTTATTCAACTTTTGGAGTTTTCTCACAGCCTGAAGCCGTAATCTCATAGTCTGTGTATCTGTCACACTAACAAAGTACGGAATACCTTTCTGTTTTTAGGAAATAGACCCGTACTACAGCCCGAAATATCTGGGACTTTCGGTCGAGTCAATTCACAGCGAGTATGAGTGTCTGCACCAGCTGAAATCTGCTCCCTCCATTGAAAACATTGAACAACTACTGGAGAATGGAAACGACATGGAGGAGGAGGCTCACCCTGTTATTAACGAAATAGGCACTTCCTCTGATCCATCATCACATACAAACGATTCTGTTCGGGAAGAACCACAGGATAAAAACAAAACAGGAACCACTTTTGATCCATCGCAAGAGAAGATTGAATCGAAAACAGAGAAAGTTTCCGATTCTGTGAGGGAAGAACTACAGGATAAAGACGAAACAGGCACCTCTTTTGATTCATCGCAAGAGAAGATTGATTTGAGAACGGAAGAAGTTTCTGCGCAAGAGCCATTGGGCGAAGAAAGCTCGGGGAAGTGTGTGTCGGGCAAAAAAGATTCAATCTCTCCTCCCAAAGCTGACGAGCAATCATTGAGTAACCAGGACGGGACAGACAAAGTTCCTCAGGCTCACAATGACGACCTTTCGAACGCTTTTGAGAGCTCTCTATTGGGTGCAGTAGGTCCTTCCGAGAGAGATATTAATGACTTGAACTCTAGAGAAAACTCTCCATCCACTTCAGCCACAAGTAACCCCTCCTATCCGTCTGGACAAGTAGTTGACGACGAGCTGCAACCCTCGGTATCATTCCACCCATCGGACACAAAAGGTAGCAAAGAGGAGAAGAGGGAAGTGGAAAAGGCGGGCGAACAAGAAAACGTTGAAACTGACCCCAAGTGCAATGGTATCTCCTCTGGTGCTGAAAATGGAGCAGAGAGTCTGTTAAAGTGTGAAGGAAAGTATGTGAACTATGACCCGGCTAACGATTACTATAGCTTCAGAGTTGGAGATAATAATAATATGGCAAAATGTACTGATGAAGACACTGTAATGCATTTGTGATACTGTGCCTTTATCCACAACCTCATATTAATCTTCATAAATTATCATCATCATCAGTTATAAAAGATCTGAGTGTAGGTTTACAGTACAATATTTGTACTGGACAAATTCTATCGCTCGAGCTGTTACTAAGCACCACTAAATATTTCCTTTTAGCAAATGCTATTGCTCAGCAAGTAATTTTTGACGTAAGGCTGCCTATTTTCTGGCGTAGTAGCTAGCCACACACCTTCGCCGTCATCTACGTAGTAGCCCTGAGTAGCCGGTCCTTGCATGGTACTGTGTAGCTGTACTGCTGTAGCGACACGTTACCCTCGCTGCGCATGCGCCTCCAGGGTTTATGTCGGCGCCGCGCGCGCGCCCCTGATCGATGCGCAATCAGTGCATGCTTGCATACGTATAGTATACGGGGCTCACTGTTAATTATAGCTCTGTCTCGCTCTCTGTGTCGTGTGACGGGGATCGCGCCCGGTCGGTCGGACATCTCGGGGGTATATCTCTATTGAAATGGCGACTCTGTAAGTGAGTAAACACTCAGGTAATAGAGTATGAAAGTCGTGTAGAACAGCGGACGCAGACGTCGCTCAATACCGTACTGTCTTTAGTCGCCGGCATGCAGGAGATTGTCTGTCTGATTAGGGCAATCTGTGTCCAGCTAACCTCACTATACAATTTGTAATGCTCTCTGGGCCTATAATACCAACCCCATAGCTAGAGTAATGTACCCTCGGCGAACTGCGCATGCGTGGTACCGCTAATTGATGGGCTGGGCTGGGCTCTTGGCGTTTACTCGTGGTCTTCCGCTAGTAGCCCGCGGAGAGTCAGACACGGGCTAGCTACAGTAGTAGATAGCATGACATGCGTGACTTCCTGAGCCCCAAGGTACACAGAGCGAGCGGATCAGGTCGCGGTAAGCCCAGTGCGATTATGCATATTGGCTTTTTCGCTTGTTTTCACGGCATATCTCTCGAACGAAGTCGTTTCAGGAAAATCGCCTAATTCTTTTTCAGGCTCCCGTAGTTCTGAATCCGCTGGTATCGCTAACGGGCCGCCTCGTAGCCTGTAGTGTCAGAATAAGCGTCGACACACACACACACAGACAGACAGAACGACTACCGTAACCCTCGCTGCTCATGCGCGCCGTTAATCATGTATTACTATATAGTGGTAGATAATTGCTCTGTACATTTATGCCCTGATAATAGAGGACACAACGGAGGAACAAGACGAACAAGGAAGACATATGGAGTTCGAGTCAATTGCTCACCGCGTGACACAACAGAGAAGAAGCTTCGTGCGCACTTTGATCAGTATGGCACCATTGAGAGTGTTGTTCTGATAAGGAAGCAATCACATGGATTTGTCAATTTCTTCTCTCTACCACATGCCCAAGAAGCTGCCGAGGCGTTGAACGGTAGTCTGATTGGAGGGAAAGTAGTTAAGTGCAAAGCCAGCACTGAGCCTCGGTACAGACAGTACAAACGAGCGGAAGACCCTCCTGTGGCAAAACAAATAGACAAAATACTTACGAAAACTCCTTCCGAAGCAGAGTGCACCGTCAAAGTGTCATGCATTGCAAAGGCCACCACTGAGCGCACTCTTTTCATTCTCTTCTGCCTTGAAGACGGCGAGGATCCCGAGAGCGTTAGGATTATTCCCTGCCCGGATAATCCCTTCAACCATGCCGTTGTGAAGTTCTTCTCACAGGCAGATGCCGAGAGGGCAGCCAAGTGCCTAGACCACTTTCACGTTGACGGGTCTCAAATTAAAGTAAAGCTGCACCCTAGCAAAGACTCTGCTCAACGACCAGGCACAGTCTCACTAACTGTGTTGCCCAGTCACACTGGTGTGCCTCAGCCCAACGAGTCTGGCAGTAGATCAAAACGACGACCACCACGTCCTAGCTCAGCCTCCACACCTGCACCTCCTCCTAGCACAGAGTCGTCCACCGTGAAAGCGACATTCACCGGCAGACTGACACCAAAAGACACTAGCACTTGTACAGCAGGGCCCAGTGATATTAGCTGTTCGTCACTGGTTGCCTCCATCCTACACAACAAGTGCAAGTCAGAGCTGGAGAGGCTGCAGCAAGAGCACCAGGTCTCGGTCACACTCATGCTCTCTCCTGCCTGCATCAGAATCTCTGGGGAAAGAGAGAAAGTCGCGACCGTGGAGGAACAGCTACGGGGTTTAAAGGAGAGAGTGGAGAAGGAGATCATCGGAAGGGACTTTAACCTCCCGTTTCATTGTGTACCGCTGTTTGAGCAAGATGCAGCCATGCAGGAGCTGAGAAAGATTGAGGCAAGTCACGGGGTCGAGTTCAATGTACGGAGGGGAATGCCTCGATCCAGTGTCGTTAGCATAGGAACATTTTCCGATGATGTCAAGCAGTGCTTCAGTCGGGTAAAGAATGGAGGTGGCGACAGCATTCCCTCCTGCTCAGGGCTGGGATCGTATTTCTCGCAGTCATCAGCCACAGGGTCTGGAGCAAGCGTCAGGAGTCCCCGATGGTTCTTCAAAGACGACGGTGGCATATTTGTCGAATACATGGCAGAACAGTCGACTAAGCTCGAGGGAATGTTCCAAGCAAAACTTTCCCGTCCCTTGCTCATCAATCGCAATGTTTATACCTTTGATTTCACCACCATGACTCAGCGTAATGTGCACAGTGGGAGGTCGCGGCCAATCGAGCGTCAAGTTCAAGCCCCCGACATCAAGCGCATGGTCATTCTACGTGTCACTGGCCTTCCCAGCACTCTTGACTCCTCAATTAGGGAGCTTCGAGAGTCCGTCAAAACCGCTACCATCGAGAAAGAGTGTAAGCTGTACGACGACAGCAGTGACAGCTTGAAGAAGCGACTTTTGGCAAATGTGAACAAGTACTTTGTGACTGCACAGCTCGCTGAAGGACGACTCACACTCAAAGGAATACCAGGCTATGTCGAGAGGGTGTACCTGGCAGCAGAGGAAGAAAAGATCTCGGAACGCGAGGTGCAGATACACGCAGCCATGAGAGGAGGAGAATCGGAAGTGCCGGCTCACTGGCGACCGCAGTCTGAGGAAGTGATCCTAGACCTCGTAAAACAGTACTCTGAAGAGTGGCGAAGAGAGGAGGCAAATATTCGCAAGACTCTCCAGGGTGTAACAGTTGTGAGGCTGGAGCGCATCCAAAACAAGTGGCTGTGGGAGAGGTACTCGTTTTCAAAGAGACGAATGCTCAAAACGAACAGGGGTCACGTGAACGAGATGCATCTCTTCCACGGAACTCGCAAAACCGAACCCGAGAAAGTATTCAGGTCAGAGAAAGGAGTAGATTTCCGTTTCTCGAGGGAAGGACTGTGGGGCACTGGCTCGTACTTTGCTGCGAACGCCTCGTACTCGGACGCATATGCTTACAGTACACCGGGTGGCATCAATGAGAAACAGATGTTCATTTGCCAAGTTCTGACAGGGGACTGCTATGATGCTGGCACCAGAAATGATCAGTCACTTAGACAGCCTCCCCTCAAGTCTACTCAGGGCCACGAAGAGAAGAGATACGACAGTGTCAAAGGCTTCACCAATGGATCGTACGTGTACGTAGTCTATGACCACGAGAAGGTGTATCCAGCATACCTTGTGACCTACTCTACAGATGGCCTGCCGTATGTTCCATCCTCCTATTCATATCAGCATCGACAGGCTCCACCAGCAGTCCCACCCAGACCCAGTTCAACCCCTAACAAGTCACCGATAAAAGCCAAAAAAGACTCGTGCCTTATATCATAAAAAAACATTATACAGTGTATATCTGTTGTATCACAAAACAACACTCAGTGTATCCCTTTTTTATACTCAACAGTGTATATATATCAGGTTTGCAAACATGTAATGGCGCAGCGCGCGTGGCGTCACTGCGCATGCGTCTAGCGATAGTGTCTGTGAGTATTTTGGGCTGCTGCTAGCGACCACATGGCTGTATTGCAAAAATATGCTGTCGAGGACTGTCTTGCGAATCCTGACTTTAGCGGCGCTTCTACTGCACCTATTTTCCGTCAGCAGCGGATTGCATTGCTCGCTGCCAGGTGGGTCGGAGTCTTGCGGCTAGTATAAACTTTCACGCTGCTATTCCTTGCAGAAATGACCGGTGCACCCGAAGATTACCTCAGCATCTGTGCAATGTGCTCGGACACTGACGCTGCCGTAAGATGGACCATCAGGGAAAGTACGCAATTTGATATTCTACTGCTTCGGTACAGCTGCAGCCAATCTAACGGAACTGAGCAGGTAAACTGCTGGATGTCTAACAAGTCAGCTCATGCCCCGTTTCTTTGTCCGCAGAGAGGTTTGATCGAAGATGGTTGTTTTGAGACATACCCTAACTGGATAGAATCACTCACTGGCACAACTGGTGTTGGATACAAGCTCTCGACTGGAGTTCAATGCCAGTTTTCCGTAGGCTATCGACTTGATGGACATACTATTGTCAAAAGTGAAAGCTGTACCATTAAAAGTGAGTACTCTTCAATTCAACGCAGCTGTTCATGTGTTAACTATCATCAGGCCCTGTGGTGTGTGCAGAAACCCCAGATGAGTGTAATATTGACAGGGTCAGTGAAATTAATGAGGAGGGAGAGTGTGAGGTCAAATGTGCTGCAGGCTATGCTGGCCCACTCTGCAACAGTGAGTAACTTCCTTCCCTGTATTACAGATGCTACCTATATTATCTCTTTGCAAGATATCAATGAGTGTGCTGGGAACAGTACATGTGATGATAATGCAGACTGTGTTGATAGTGATGGTAGCTAGTTACTGGTGTCAGTGTCTGCCAGGATTCCAGGGAGACGGATATGTCTGCACAAGTATGCCCTATTGTCTTCGGGCAAGATGTTTGTAAACATTATTTGTATACTTCCTTAGATACTAATGAGTGTGCTGGTAGCAATGCATGCGGTCATAATGCAGACTGTGTTGATACTGATGGTAGTTACTGGTGTCAGTGTCTGCCAGGATTCCAGGGAGATGGATACAACTGTACAGGTCAGTCACACAAACTGTCTCCACCACCCGTGATAATACAAGTCAAAATTATTTTCAGACATCAATGAGTGTGAATTACTCATTGCAAAGTGTAGAGATAATGCCAAATGTCTCAATATTGAGGGAAACTACAGCTGTGACTGCAAGTCAGGATTTGCTGGGGATGGATACAACTACTGTGAAGGTATGCTTGCCGGTTGTATAGCAACTGAGGCTGGTTCCTGGCAACAGAGGCTGTGGTGGCCAACTATAAATTAAACGATTTGTTGGTTATGCCGCAATAATGATTCTCTCAGATTCTTATCCGAAAGTAGTCGAGATGGTAGGTCTTTGTATTGTTGGCCAGGTTGTTTTTAGAGATTCCTGCCATCTTCTTGCAGTGTCAACTATTGTCACTTTCGGTTAATGTTGCAGATATCAATGAGTGTCAGAATGTGACATGTGGTGAGAATGCTGAATGTCTCAATACTGAGGGGAGCTACAGCTGTGGGTGCAAGTCAGGATTCACTGGAGATGGATACAACTGTACAGGTGTGGTTGGGCAGCACACACCCTGTTAGATTAGCTGTGGATTAATATTTATACAGTGAGCACGGGCAAACTGTTCCCAGAAGCATACCACCACAATCAGTGTATAGTATGTTCCTACGAATGGATTATTAGGGAGATCTCCTCTCTGTTTCTAGCTAAGTGTATTTACTTACACAGATATTGATGAATGCATTATGGGGGAACACACCTGTATTGGTATGAACCGCTGTATCAACCAGCAGGGGACCCATTACTGCAAATCAAATGGTATATTGGCCTTCTAACCTTGTATCGAAAGCTTACGTTCACACTTGGATAATTTACAGGGGCTTCACCAATGAAATTGACAGTAATGCTGCTTGTGATAATATTATGTGGTACCCTGTTACTTACAATGCTTCTGTTCCTGACACTACCTTGTCAATACAAGTCTGAACAGTGCTTACATGATAATATTATGTTATTTTGCCACATCCTTTGCAGACAGAGGTGTATAAAAAGCTGGAAATGGACCCCTACTTCCAGCCTGAGGCACACACAGAATGATAGTTTGGCTCACAAAACACACATACTAGCAGCAGAGGCACAAATGGGCTACATTCGTGATTGTTACTCTGGAAGTGTTAGCTATGGCGACCAGCATCAGATCACAGGACATGGGGACCAGGACCAAACTGGATCACATGCCAGTTTATGCTCCCCTGACAAGTCGAAAGGTCTGGTTGCCGACATGCCTCCACTCTACCAGATGAAAGGCGAAATATCACAAGCCTAGCTAGTAGCTAAGACGTACCATTATGGAAACAATTTTCTGTCTGCATTCGTACAGTTGTTGAATTCTAGCTATCCGAAAACCAAGTGCAGAGAATTTTTCCACCTTTATCCGATGCTGAATACGTGGTATTGTTTGTGGAGCGATTGATGGCTAACACACACACACACGACACTGGCAGACAACTACTGTAACCCTCGCTGTGCATGTATGCCGAGGGTTAATCAGCACTCACAAGGTCGGGTGGGGGGTGGGGGGAATTCACAAAAGCGGCTTGTCCTACCTGGATGACTTAGTGGTTAAGGTTTTGATCAATCCTGCAGCGGCAGCAAAAGAACAGCGATCTGCTTCAAAATAATATTGATCATAACCACCCCACCAGTCAACTGGATCATCAACCAAGACATGATAGCCATTCGGTTCAGCAGAGTATCGAGAAATTACGAAACACACCAAAGAAGAAGCCAAAACAAGCAATGAACCCACAAGAGATCTCACCACCATGTTACTGATTGAAGTATGCCATGGAGTGACAACTGAGCCCAATGTTTGGGACTTTGTTTGCTTAGTTTGCATGCACTGGGATCGTGGCATTCCTTAACAAAGCTCCATCCAGAGTACAGTATATAAAACCCCTTAACTGTTTCATAAATATCCAGGATTGGTAGCTAATTAACTCTCCCTCAGAATGTTTATTAGCTACACACATGCTCAGAGTTCTGACAAAATTATTACGCATTGCAATTGCACTTCCAAAACTTTAAAACAAGTTGACCCTATATACAATATAATAACACTATAGCTGTCTATTTACAGAGTTTGTGAATATCAGAGGCTGAGGATATATACTCCTAACCATCTTTGTCGACTCATGAAAATATTTATACTTTCTGTCATGGTCCATTTCAACATGTGTGGTGCAGTGGTTAGCAGTAAGCATTACTGCACTGGAACGTCTTGACATGCTTTACTATAGTATTAGTGTGCAAACCACAACGACAACGGAGGCCTTTGCGCATGCGCGATCGCACTGCTGTAGTACTGTATATTATACACCACCATACACCAAAATGGTAATGAGAGGCTTCTTACGTACACGTGTGCAGACGTAGTAGGCGGGGTCGCGCGGGGGGTATATTATACAAGTGGAAAAATCATTTCTTCAAAATGAAAGGGGGATATAGGGATGGCTTGAAGCACCAAAAAGGAAGAAACAAGGGGTCATTACACAGCAAAGTTGCACAAAGCTACATGACACCATCCCTATATCTTTGTCTCATATTAAACTTTACTTCAAGGTAAACTGTTGCAGAGTGGAAATGACGGAAACGTCAAGCGCGGCTGGACGACCTCTTTCCCAATTAGGGAGAAAAATGTCAGTATGGCGAGATTGGTTGTGAACAATAATACAAAGATATAGGGATGTGTCATGTAGCTTTGGCATCTTTGCTGTGTAATGACCCCTTGTTTTCTTCTTTTGGTGCTTCAAGCCATCCCTATATCCCCTCATTTGAGAAATGATTTTCCCACTTGTTTCCACTATTTTTCACGCCTTATGACAACACTGCATTTTCAGTCACTCTTATGTTCATGGGTGTTGTAGAGATAACTGTTGAAAGCAGAAGCTAATGGGCTGCTCCTACCTGAAGCAGGGTGTATGCGTAGTGTCTCCAACAAGGATGCAATTAGGGTGTGGACATATATGGTGGGGTGCTTTCATAGGCAAGGCTTTCAGTAATCAGACTACAATGATAGCTATAACCTGGGGGGACAAAGAATAAGGCGCTGTGCAAGGACCGCGTATAGCTAACACGCGCGCACACTGCGAAGTGCTCCTCGTGCAAATCAACAGCAAAACGCAAGATAGCCAGTTTAAAAATGTGTATACTGACTTACAGAAGGCACTGGAGGATAAGAATTCCTCTGCAGGCTTCCTGGCTTAGTCTGGTTCACGCACGCGCGCGTTATAGTAATGCGCGCGCACCGCGTATTTTGGGGAAACGCCCTCCTCGGCGCGGCGCATGCGGCTCACTGGAGCAGCAAATGGCGTTGTTCAGTGACTATTGTGGAAGAGCTCAATGTCTACCGCAGTGACTTGCGCAAGAACAGCGATCGCTTGATATGCGTGCACACCTCCGAAAATTTGGAGACGTTCTGTGAAAAAATGACGCTTCAACTGCTTCCGGTAGGAGCTAGCGGGTCTGAAGAAGAAGAAGAAGAAGATGAAGAATATGATGATGATGACACGAAAATCGCGAAATCCGCGTAAGAGCGAATTCTCTGGTGGGGAACTGAGGGCACGTAAGAAGTCTTGGGGCATATGTATAGCTAGTATGGCCTCTAGACTATTGCTAGTGATTTTGAAGCCATGGTGAGTAATTCTCGCTGAGTTTTGAGGCGTTTTGTACGCGGATCACGTGAGATTTCACTCGTGTCATCCCTATATATAGAGCGTCTACCGACGCTCTGATATACAGGTGTGTATTTTAGCACAAGCTTTGAGTCGTGCACATATTCCGCGCCTCTCTCGGCGTCCCGCAGTCAAAATGCAGAGTGCACCACTCCGTGTATTTGTCGTGGTCTTTCTACCTGTACTGGGTGTCAGTGGATTGCAGTGCTTACTGTCAGGTTCGCTGCCGTCAAGTGTTCCACGCGTGCCATGTTTCATTATTTCTCTCGTCTGCAGAAACGTCCAATGCAGCCGAAGACTCCGTGAACATCTGTGCCATGTGCTCGGACACTGATGCTGCCGTGAGATGGACTGTCAAGCAAACATCTAGAATCGACGTTTTTCTCATTGGTTACCAATGCTTCGACGAAAACGGAACTCTAGTGCACACTTGGCATGACAGCGACAGTTGTTTTGAACCATACCCTAACTGGGGGCAACACACTGGCACAATTGGTGTAGGAAAGCAGCTAAGAACAGGACTCACATGCCAGTTTATAGCAGGGTATCGAGTTAATTCTCAGACTTTAAGCAAAGTAACAAATTGTACAATCAAAAGTAAGCAACTAAAGCAAGTCATCAAGTATAGGTATAGCGTCTGTTCATCCATTGTTTCTACAGGCCCTGTGGTGTGTGCAGAAACTCCAGATGAGTGTAATATTGACAGGGTCAGTGAAATTAATGAGGAGGGCGAGTGTGAGGTCGAATGTGCTGCAGGCTTTGCTGGTCCACTGTGCAACAGTGAGTATATAGTGAGCGTGCAAGAGCTGTCTGCATCTAACGTATCTAATGTCTTCAGACATCAACGAATGCAACAATACCAACAGATGTGACGATAATGCAGACTGTGTTGATAGTGATGGTAGTTACTGGTGTCAGTGTCTGCCAGGATTCCTGGGAGATGGATACAACTGTACAGGTCAGTTTCCTGCAAAAAACGGTGGTGCACGACATTATAACAGTAGTGCTGAACAGATATCAATGAGTGTAAGAATGTGACATGTGGTGAGAATGCCGAATGTCTCAATACTGAGGGGAGCTACAGCTGTGGGTGCAAGTCAGGATTCACTGGAGATGGATACAACTGTACAGGTAAGAAGTACTGAACTTTATATAGAATTTCCTCCCAATTCTGTGCTCTTGGTAATTGCAGACATCAATGATTGTCATAATGTGTCATGTGGGGAGAATGCTACATGTATTGATGAAGTGGGTAACTACAGCTGTGAATGTGATTCAGGATTCACTGGAGATGGATACAACTGTACTGGTAAGAAGTACTGCACTTTATAGAACTTCCTCCCAATTCTGTGCTCTTGGTAATTGCAGACATCAATGATTGTCATAATGTGTCATGTGGGGAGAATGCTACATGTATTAATGAAGTGGGGAACTACAGCTGTGCATGTGATTCAGGATTCACTGGAGATGGATACAACTGTACTGGTGAGGCTCATACATGATCTAATTTGGCACTGAGTATAATATTTGTAAGGCATAAAACACGCAAGCACTTTCAAACATGTGGAGGGACATTAAATTGTGTGCCTAAGTATTGTCATACACACAAGGAGTGGTTTCTTTTCCAGTAGTTTTACAGCCTAACAAAAAGGCATTATATGCCACAAAGGGATTGTTTCCACACAACGAGTGGGCAGCAATCGTGTGTTTATACAGTGGTTCATAGTTGTGATGGCACAGGATGCATTAAGACTGTATTGATTGCTGTGAATACCTGCTCCTTCCTCTAATGTTGTGAACAATTACCGCTGTGTGTGTGTCTGCTGTGATGACGCAATTTTTGGTATGTACATAATATCTGTTGGCAGATAAGGACGAATGTGTGGAGGAAGCACACAATTGCACCGGTGGGAGCTACTGTGTCAATACCATGGGGAGCTATAATTGCCTGACAATTGTCACTAGTACAGGTACGTCCATGTATACCTTTCATTGGTGGAATGTAATTAACAATGCTAGCGTTACAATAGGACATGACAATGGTACCGACTGAAAAATTATGTAGATATACACGTTGTACATATTATTTCAGGAGGAAGGACTAACATTGTGGCAGTGGCAGTGTTTGTGCCGGTAGCATCGCTAGTATTAGTGATACTGCTAGTCACTGTGGTCCTGATTTCCCTGCATCGTCTTATAAAGTGAGTTTGTGCTGTGTACATATATACAAACAAACCAGTGCATTCATTATGTTGTTACGCCATCCAGCAGGAGAGAGAAAATGCCGGCGTTCCATGAACTGACAAAGATGGTGGGTCAATAGTGCAGTAACCACAGTTGGCTTAGAGATCTATGCACCATAGATATGTGGGAGTAGCTCACTTAGGCCAAAACATTGATTTTCTCCTTTTCTAGTGTGTTGTTTAGTAATTATTCTACCTATGTTCACAGGATTTGGATCCCTACTACACACCCACATTCTGGAGCGGATCACTGCTCTCCATTCGCAGCCTGTACGAGAAGCTGATATTCATTGACTCAATGACGGACGTTAATCGCACCGAGGAGAGAGAGATGGAATACGGGGGTAGCAGTCGCGAGGGAAAGCCGCCAAAATTTGCCATGGAAAAAGTGGACAATCCTGCGCGTACAGTAACACTCCACACAGAGAAAGACAGCCACAGTCACAGTACATCACAAAAGAACTATGTTTCGCATGTGCCAGTGGGTCTACCTCGGCAGCAGGGAAACGGAGAAATTGCTCGGAATGGTTTTGATAACCAAGCCATATCGACCCCAGACTCTCTGATCACACCGGGCAAAGACAAAACCTCTCCCAACACAACCATAAGCTGTGTCAATTACACCTTTGATGTGGCCCTCCCAGATATTACGTTACCGTCTTCGCTAGACAACATTGGAAGAGTGGGAAATTGTACACAACCACGGAATATGGGAGGGTATGTACTGGAGTCCATCAGTAGCAGCCGTAGTTGTATCCAGCATCAGGTTACTTCGAGTGGTGACAATGCCAAATTTGGGGACACACTCGATATTGATCACAGCAGCAGACATTTGGCTGTACCAGAAATTGAGAACGTTGTCAGTAGCACCTCATCCAGTAGAGCACCATCAGGGATCGATTATCAAGCTCCTCTAGAGGCCGTGAACCACTCCCGAAATCTTCAAGAGAGGCCGAAAGATTTTCGAATTCCTCAAGTGGAGCTCCAACAAGGGCCGAACGATTTTCAAAGTCCACAAGAGGTGGCCATGGATTTTAGAACTCCTCAAGAGGGGGCTATACCAGCAGGTCCGGTCCAAACCAGTGGCAAACAGCGACATGTCACAGACTACATAGAAAACAGTGACGTAAGTAGTAGTGGTTACAGCACTGACTCGGCAGTGGATAGAAGAGGAGCGAGCTCTTTTTCTGCCGACCACGCCCCCAACACCATCACCTCTTGGGGCTCGCAGGCCTCGCTCCAGTCAAGCGACACAGACAACACGACGACGACCGCGGAACTAGCACAACCAGATCTGGACAGCGTAAAGTTTACCATCAACGCTCGTCAGGAGTTTGAATACGAGAACGCCATGGAGGAAACATTTCTGACCGACGTGAAGTTTGAGATTTTGCCGCAAGAAAACTGATTTATCACCACTTATCATGCACTTGGTATGTAAATTTTTTAAATTATTGCAGCCACATTTTTTTTTATACATCATGGTATTGCGAGTGCAGTAATTTCAAAAAGTCCACAAGTACGTATATAATATGTACAAGCAAAATCAATACACCCAGGAAAACACTTAGGTTAGAAGGAAAAAAGCGCTTATTATTAATGGTGGGACTCTAGCATACAATGATAGTCGCAATCCACCATTGTGATTTTTGGCGATAGGAAATATATACAAGGTCAAGAGTACGACATGCAGATAGCCCTATAATTATACCAAATGACATCCTTAGCTAATGTTCTTCTAAGAAACCTCCACAATAGCTAATCACTAACAATTTAACGCTACATTCCAAGGGAAATCATACGACTGTATAATAGATATAGGGAGGTTGGTAGGTATGCTTCACTCACAAGTAATTAATTACACGGGTTAGCAATTACAAGTGTACATTCCTGCCAAACAAGGCCAGTATTGCGACTATGTCACCAGACAAAGAGCCACTTCCTGTTGCTACTAATTACACACGTGCACGGTCATAACAAACAAAATCTCCACATATACATTGTCATATTGCATGGTACAAAATCACAAACAAACAAAATTAAAGCATACATGAAACCATCGTGTGAATAAATTTAGAGCGAAAACAGGTCATAGTGTGTTTCTCTGTATGAAAAGTACTTTTTAAATCTAACTTCTACCTAATGTACAAGGTATTAATTGCTACCGAGTTAACAGCATTTCTTCTTTTTCGTTGCTGTGTTTTTACCGACTTTTATTGTGTCTCTGGCACCTGTGTCTTTCTGGGACTCTTTCTTGGTCTTGAGGACCTGCTTCGTTATCTCATAGAACACCTGAGGGGACGTGAGATAATACATCCAGTCTGGTCACTGTCAGTTTTCCCAAAATATCACGGGCTATAGCTGGATCATTGTTAGGTAACAAAGCCCACACTGTGTGATGTTGGCCTTGAGCGAATCTCATTGGTGATTGATCTGATTGATCAGTGTAAGGGATTCCGTGACCTGGTTTGTAGCTGGTGACATATGGTCCGTGGCACATGCAAGGCAAATGTGGTGCATCCTTTGCTACACGTGCCAGAATTCTTTGAGCACAATTAGGAAATGCCCAGGTAATTGAATTCTAATTAGCACACATTAGGGTTGTGGTGTAGACTAATACAAGTCTACTGCTGAGCTCTTTGCCATCAATCTCCAGAGGTATGCGAGGAGCCAAGGATTAATTACTCAGCATGTTAACTAGGTGCCCCCTAATCAACTTGCCTTCAACTGCCTCGTTGAGATAAACATGCATCTCTCTTCAAATTGGGTTGGGGTAATGATGAATTTGAGGAGGAATGCACGTGTGCAACACCAGACAAGAAAGTGGTAAAGACGGAAGATGCCCGGAAGTTAACAAACCTCCAGTTAACAAACTTGCTTTCATTTGCCACACTCTAGAGTGTAGAGTGTGGCAAATGAAAGCAAGTTTGTTAACTGGAAGGCACCTAGTTACAATACAGAGATGCTACGCTGGGCAGTGGGGAGCAAACTCACCTCCTCCACATTCAGGTTCTCCTTGGCACTCGTCTCGTAGAGCGGGACGCCAATCTGCTCGGCAAACTTCTGGGCATCTTCCGTCTTTACCACTTTCTTGTCTGGTGTTGCATCATTCTTGTTTCCCACTGATCCACACACATAATAATAAACCAGAAAGGAAAGAGAGATGTGTACTTTAAGGGAAAAACACTACATACCAAATTACCGGTAAAACGTGTTACTTTGCAAGGACAAATCGATTACCGATAAAACATGTTACTTTGCAAGGACAATAGTTAACACATGTTACTTTGCAAGGATGATACGTACATGTGTAGCATCCCCACTGACTTACCTGACTCACTAAGTATTACGCAATCATGTTTAACGCACACAGTATACACAGTGTGGTGTCACAGTTTGTGTTCAATCTCAGTCAGAGTGGCAGAAAAGATGGAAAAGCGATATTTAGGCAAAGCTGTCCAGAGCTTCGCATCTTTTTTCTCTTGGCATCACATGGTCTATTGTTACATGTGCAAGGCTGCCGGCGCCACACACCCATTTAAAAAAGTATTTCACGCAGACAACAATTCTGTGTTGTCATTCCTCGATTATCAATTGTGTATGTTCTCAGTTACATCTTACAACCACCGGTCTCTCCCACCCATCGTCCAATATGAAGTTGCACGCACATAGCCCGAATACCCACACTATGCAGCCACGGCAACCGAGCTATAATTATATTACCTGCTCATCTGATGCCATGCAGTTATGTATGTACACCACGCACGGGTTTTGCATGAGTAAAGCTACGAATACAAGCTACACTTGTACGTGTATGTGGGTCAGTGTGGATGTCGTCTGTATGTGGGAGAGAGGGAGTGAGGGAGGGAGGGAGTCAGGGTTCTGAAACCAAACACTGCCAGTGTACATTAATTCCAGATTCCTCTGTTCGTCAGGGCTGCCCATGGAATACCTACCTACATACATAACTAACCTGACCGACAGAGAAGGGCTCGTGATACATGATAAACTATTGGAACTTTGCACCATACCTTTTCTGAGAAGACAACTGTGACATGCCACAGCTGTGGCTTGTCACTGCCTAGCAACCGAGTTACTTCACAAACTGGCTAAGGGATACCGTAGTTAACATAATCAATTGGCACAGCAAATTAGTTAATGCACTAAAGGTCAATGATGCGTGTATTGCATTTAATAAGCCAAGAACAGAGATAGTAGTTGGTACAGTAAAATATTCAGGGTACATCTTTAGGAAATATATTGAAGATGGTCTGTCCAAATTGGCAAAAAAATTATTTTGCGGGGAAAATTATACAGATGTGTGCATCCTTAACGGAAAAATTTGTGGAAAAGTTTCTCCTTTGAAGTCTCCCACTCTATAATGTATGTATGTGTTTTTTCTACGGGGAGAGGGGAGGGGGCGGGGGCAAATTTGACCCCTCTGAACCTTAATCAATAATTAAGTGGGGTTTTTCGATTTGCCCCCCTCCCTAAAAAGATTTCTAGTAACAACGCTGATTGTAAAGCTGGAATGAACACTCACTCAACAAAGCCATGTATATGACTAGTTAGCAACCCACAACACCTCCTCCACAGAGACACAGATGGAACCCCACACACATCGCCAACCATCCCTCTCAGAGCGGCATTTCACATACACGCATACAGCGAGACCTCAAGAATCCCAACCATGCACCTTCCCCAACCCAGATCCCACGTTTCTTGGGTATCTGAATGTAAACCGCCGCCTCAGGGGATTAAATATGCCAAGCTCCACTGTAGGGTGACAAACTGGGCGCAACTCGACATCTCCCACACAAACACGAGTTCATGGAATAATTTTGCGATTAAAGAGTGCTCAACTTTAAAAAACTGTAAAGGCATCCCACCAAATCTCTTACATCCTAAGGTATAATTATAGTTCTAGTAATATGGCCACAAGGGTTGTACCTATAATACCTATACGGACGTATTGACATTGACGACACACAAAATGTCAATGGAACTGGTAAGGCTGCAATGTTACGCATGAATAGGAGGACTGTTTACGTACAATGGGTCACTGTTAGAAAGTAGGCTGAGCCGTTCACATTGTGTGTGAATCGATGTAGCCCACACCAAAAACAACATCCCAAGTCTTTCAAGGGCCTTTCATTAGACAGGAAGTTTAGACAGGTGGGGTTCTCCCACACTGACCAAATTCTTTGTATATAGCTGCGCAGTCTGTACATCTAACAGTCATTGATTCCTCCTACTTACAATTGCAATCACCTCACCACATCCTTAATGCAGTTGTAAGCTTATGTACATATGTATATACTCTACCCACACATGTAGATACAAGAGGTACATAGCCATTAGTGGGCAATGGCAGAACATGAACATTATTTGCTGGTAACTTAACTACAGTCTATAATTATTTGTACCAATGTGCGCTAATATCCGGTTGTAAACCGCAGACTCCTCAACGTGAACAGACTATAACAGCCCCACCCCTGACTCACCTAGAATTCTGTTGACGGTGTCGCAGTTCTGATCGATCTCCTGCAACCACCTCTTGACGTTCACAAAACTCTCTCCACTCGTCACATCGTAGACTACAATCACTCCATGCGTTCCTCTGTAGTACCTGCACGCACACAACAGAAAAATCTACACACATGGAGTAAAGGCCACTCTGACCCACAATTACAGTTCTAGTGAAATTCATGGGACAATTTCCTTGCCTGTGTTTATATACTGCATATGAGTTGGAAATTTGGACAAATCTTGATGTGTAGGACACGTGTGTTTACAATTACTAATGTCATTATGAGTTGTAGCCATGTGCACTAAAATGAGTCTACTTGATTCGAACAAGGAATTGACTCAGTTTAATCGCTGTGCAAAAGAGCTGTCCTTGCTGGTGAAGTTGACTTGTTGTGTTGTTGTTAGCAGTTAGGTTGAACTATTACTGTGCCAATGCTCTCAGAATCCCACACACAACATGCAACGGCTACGTAATTTGTTGCATATCCAAGAAAAAGCAGGTATGCATATATACAGGGTGCATACTTTGCCTCCAAGGTTCCACATTGGCTATATATCCCTCAGCCACTGAGTAGCAAATGCTTCAGGCCAATGTGAGTCTCTGGCAAAGAACGTCAGTAGGACACATATTCCCAGAATACTCATCACGAACGTGATGGTGGCAATTTGGTATCAGGGATTCCAGGGAGGAGCTCTTTGTGCTCTGTGTGGAAAGTGAAGCACTTTTCCCGTAAGGCTCGAGTCTCTCACTTGAGCTCATATTTTCTCTCACCACTTTGAGCCTAATTATTCCCTCATTGCCTGCCAAGACTCGTTACACGGTGGGAGGGCTATCCAAGCAGTTGAAAGCAGCGTGACGAGAGACGTATCAAAACCGTGTGGTGGGGGACGGACCCCTGTGAGGAGACTACTTATCCAGAGCTGCCAAGGACGCGTAGATAAACATGTGTGCGAACTAATTTTTACAGATATTGCGCCTACGTGCACAGGTGTTGCTATAACTCCTAAACATTACCTGGTAGTACGGCAAATGACATTCGTAATAGAATTACTGCTGCATAATATAATGAAAAGCACTGAAGTGCAAACCCTCGGCGCACTGTGACGCGCGCGCGTAAGTAAACGCATGTGCCGTACCACTAATTGATGGGCTGGGCTTAGTTTTAGCTTACTCGTGGTCTCTTGCCAGCTCGCGCAGAGTCTGACGCGGGCTAACTACACTACTAGATAGCATGCGAGAGGCGATACACGCCCTGCGTTGCATCTTCTGGTGCACGCAGATCGATCATGCCGTAGAAAGCTGTTGTGTATTTGCATATTGGCTTTTTCCCGCTCTAGCTTAGCAACGGAGCGTTTTCAGAGAAAACCGCCTTTATTTTCTGACCTTCGTCGCCCGTTGGGTAGATGGTATCCTTTCTGGGACGAACAGACGTTCGAGAAGTGAGATGTAGAGTAACAGACAGACACACACACAGACAAACCCAACTACTGTAACCCTCGCTGCGCATGCGCGCCGAGGGTTAATGAAAAGCACTGAAGTGCAAACCCTCGGCGCATTGTGACGCGCACGCGTGAGTAAACGCATGTGCTGTATCACTAATCGATGGGCTGGGTCTAGTTTTAGCTGTTACTCGTGGTCTCTTGCCAGCTCGCGCAGAGTCTGACGCGGGCTAACTACACTACTAGATAGCATGCGAGAGGCGATACACGCCCTGCGTTGCATCTTCTGGTGCCTTCGAGGTACGCAGAGCACGCGGATCGATCAGACCGCGTAAGCCGTTGCGTATTTGCATATTGGCTTTTTCGCGCTCTAGCTCTGCAACGGAGCATTTTCAGAGAAAACCCCACATATTTTCTGACCTTCGTCGCCCGTTGGGTAGATGGTATCGTTTCTGGGACGAACAGACATTCGAGAGGTGAGATGTAGAGTAACAGACAGACACACAGACACACAGACAGACCCAAGTACTGTAACCCTCGCTGCGCATGCGCGCCGAGGGTTAATTATACAACTTGACAGCTCTGCTTTGCCCTCTCTCTCTCTCTGTTTCTCTGATGTGACACCAGACATTGTGGTCTAGAGCAACACCCAGCCTTGCTCACAGTGTGTCAGACATCATTGTGGTCTAGAGCAACACCCAGCCTTGCTCACAGTGTGTCAGACATCATTGTGGTCTAGAGCAACACCCAGCCTGGCTCACAGTGTGTCAGACACCATTGTGGTCTAGAGCAACACCCAGCCTTGCTCACAGTGTGTCAGACATCATTGTGGTCTACAGCAACACCCAGCCTTGCTCACAGTGTGTCAGACACCATTGTGGTCTAGAGCAACACCCAGCCTTGCTCACAGTGTGTCAGACATCAAGGGTTTAATTTGTAGAAGCCCGCCAATGAAAGACAGCTTGTAGTCTCAGTGAAGATATTTCAGTGATCCCACTATCACAACACCTACATATTTACGGTTAGCTGCCAATGCTTTTACCTACGTAGAAACTTTAAAAAATCCGTACCATATATAGACAGTTTTGGCCACGCAATTATAGAAAATATTTGAACAGAAGCTAGTACATCCCACCCCCTAACAACACCAGTGATGCCACATGTTAAACGAGCAATAGGACAGCACCTTTCCAACAGCTAGCCTGGGTGGGACGTGAAGCCACAACCCTCTCTCTAAATCCACTAAACCGCCTCGCGGGTGTAGTGTAACCTACCTATGTGCAGAAGGTTCATCCTATCAAGTACCAGAGGCAGCTCTGGAGACAAGGCTCCAGAACAGACAAAACCCAAATTACTCTGTGTGGGTGATACTACACCAGTGCTTGGCATTATCCAATGATCACTGATGCAGATAATGAAAAGCACTGAAGTGCAAACCCTCGGCGAACTGGGGCATGCGCGGTACCGCTAACTGATGGACTGGGCTGCTATTAGCATGCGTTTACTCGTGGTCTCCCGCTAGTAGCTCGCAGAGAGTCTGACACGGGCTAGCTACAGTAGTAGATAGCATGCGAGAGTCGATATATACACGCCCTTCGTTGTGACTTCTTGTGCCTTCAAGATACACAGAGCAAGCGGACCCGGTCGAGGTAAATGAGCCTGTTGAAATATAAGCGCATGCGCATTTTCCGCAGCGATAAAAATGGCCGACTATGCATTAGCCGTACAATGCTGGAAGCGCTCTAGCTTTGCAACGGAGCAGTTTCAGAGAAAACCGCACAAACTTGCTGACCTTTCATTGCCCGTTAAGTAGGTCGTATCGTTTGTGAGACGAAAGAACATTGGAGAAGTGAGATGTTGAGTAACACATACACACACACACAGACCCAACTACTGTACCCTCGCTGCGCATGCACGCCGAGGGTAATGATTATAATTGGTGTATTGGCATACATTTCCTATAGAGGTTAAGGCTCACGTGGAGGTGATGGTTCTAAACCTCTCCTGGCCTGCAGTGTCCCAGATCTGTAGTTTCACCTTCTCCCCGTTCACATCAATTGTCCGGATCTTGAAGTCCACGCCAATGGTCGTGATGTACGTGCCTGAGAGGAGGAGCATGAGCAGCTACACATACGTATGTATACACATCTGTAGTTGTATCAACAACACACATTTTGTATTTGTTCTAGGAGGAGAGGGCGATTATGGACTTACCCACTGAACAAGGGCCTGGAGAAAGAAATTGGGTGGCCTAAATTATTCGTACTTTTAACAAGAATCTGGGGTGAAGGGCAGGCAAACGCAATGTTATAAATACCTTCACTATAGCTGAAGAGCGCATCTAAACTTATCCATGGAATGTTTCAGCACAAAAAAAATTCAAGGGGTTGAAAAAAAGCCACCCTACATCTCTCCAGACAGACGTCTATGGACGCAGTGCAATGCCAAACTGTACGCTGTCCTTTGAGATGTATGTGGGTCAGTGGTAGATTCATGGGTAAGGGGAGGAACCAGAGCTGTTCCCAGCCAATGCTCTGGACCATCTGACAGTTTCAGTGCGGGTCCGGCATTCGAACCGGGCACCTTATGTGTCAGTCCCCACGTCTCTAACCACTTAGCCACTTGGGCTGGCCACGAGAGTTGATGAAAAAACGTTCCTCTTATACGGTACCAGTCAAAAAAAATGCACCGTAGTTGTGTTACCACTCCAAAACTTAAAGGTGTTGCTATTGTATTGTACTCAGTGCTTGCATGAAGTTTTGGCCTTTTACGACCGGTACACATGTGGCGCTGTTTGGTTTAACCACTGTAGTAACATTACGTACAATCCTTGCTGTAGTACGTAGGTATGCTGTAGTGTTGCTACATAAGTGCATTTTATCACTGTAGGACGGGTAGCTACACCTGTCTGTACATTGTATGCACCTACCGCATGGTTAATACGTAGGTACATAGTACAGTCACATTTGGGTAGATTTTTGTTTCTCACTGTAGTTTATCTGTAACTACACACCTGTAGAAAGGTCTTGAAACAGTTCAGGAAATAGTAATTACTCCCTTTTTCATGTGTACATTGTGCTGTTGTGTAGATCTGGTTTCTACACTAAAAGCTGGAAATACAGTGCATTTTTTTTGACTGGTACCGTATCAACACTCACATTACATCATTATAAAAAAAACACCCCAGACCCGAACCACTGACCTCACGATCTAGAGTGTGAGTCTTTATCCACCAGACCACACCCAATACTTACCCGTGACAAGTTCAATACTGTAGCATTGAAGTGGAAACCCTCGGCGCAAAGCACAAGCGTGTGTGTTCACTTTATATTCCTACATAGTCCCTGCTGATTTTTTTAAAATGGGGTGCATGGGTAAATGCGTCCCCCCATTCCTTGCCTTTCACTCCTACCTGTCAGTCACTTATACTTTAACACACCCATCCTATAGCCAGGCAATTATGAATGACTTCATCGTAGTCTAAGTTGGTTCTCATTGTGGCGTCTTCATGCTCCATGAGATTTAGCTACTTAACCATGAACAACGAATCCACAAACGGACATGCGCTTGCAACACATACAGTGCGTGCGTGCGTGATTGACTATGACTAATGCATACCAGACTCTCATTCCAAGAGGACAACTTGTGGCATCAACAGAAGGTGAGAAAGTGTATGCTCCAATATGGTGTGTGTATACAGTAGGTGGTCTGTGGGGTGCGGGCCAGTCTTCGACTAGCTTCAGGAGTGCCAGCTACAATGTCTCCAACCAGCTAAGGTGTTATGTGCCCTCCACAAAGAGTTTTCTCTAACACACCCACACGGTAAGAAATCAATGCAGTGCATAATAGTAGACAAGACAAGAACAACAAACTAATTTAGGCCATTCTAGTACTATTATAGTGCTACATAGTGTAAACATAAGGAATGTGTAAGCATTCGTGAATTAGGAGTATATTAGCTCCTGTGTAAGTATGCATGAGCAGAACCCACCACTAACTGATGGCCATGTCACTCCATGCAGCCTCTCGCCTGTGTCTCGCTCTAACACAAGCTAGGCATATACACCTCTCAGTAGAATTCGGGGCAACGCTGGACTGAATACGTACTTGTCCCGTAAGTAGCTTGGAGCCTTTATGGTGCACTGAACACCCAATAAAGCTGGTCGTGGTGCACCATTGCTTATCAGCTGTTTCACTCGTGCTTCACGCCATAATTATAACTCTTGGACGCAATAGTTTCATGTCACATGTAACAATAGACCATGTGATGCCAAGAGAAAAAAGATGCGGAGCTCTGGACATGCAACCCGAGGGTTGAACAGTTCTAGAGTGAACAAGAAGGTCTTATTTGGCTATTTGGTTATGCTATACATTCATCAACTATGACACACACACACAGTACAAATGCTAGGAGTAGCGTTTGGCTATACAAGGACAACGCTTACTACACGTGGGAAACCTGGTCTGAAAACCTGGGCAGGCCGGTAGAGATATACCTGGATATGCAAGAAGAGTGCCATGTATGGTAGCCAAAATGCAAGGCACCAAGCAAGGAATATACATAATGCAGGACAACCTGTGTCATCCCTATATACATGTACCTATATACTAAGTACTGCTGTACTTAGTGATACTTAAAGGGTACATAGCTATAAACAAATGCAGCTAGAACACCAAGACACAGATACACATGAAGATTTGCTAGTGTCTCGCAGTAGTTTCTTACGCTCTAGTATCCCTACAGCTATACATTTGAACTAAGGCTCAGGAGAATGAGCTTGCAAACTATGACGGCACGTATTGACAGACAGGAGGAGACATGGCCGTAGAGCGTAGAGGGGAAGGATGGCCGATTGCTGAAAGTTGCACCCCTAATGTTCTTCAATAATTAATGCTCCAGGACAGTCCTGTTTGGTATAAAGAAACTATGAACAACTCTTGGTTGATTTGGTTCATAGATGATGAGAGTTTCTATAGCATAACATTTGTCTTATTATACACCGTCCAAACTTTATATTATAGCCATCATCAGTGTATCATAACATCTCAAGCGTAAGGCATCAATGCAGAGAGGACAAGTAATCAAGACACCAATGGTAGCAGCCTCTACGTGTGTGTAAAACATGACATAATACTTGTGTTAGTTGATACTAGAACCCCTCATTGTCTTATTCAGAATGCCACTAGTTCTCAAACTCCTATGGTCAGCATAGAGCACAATTTTAGCAACAGCTTTACTCTTTACTCAATGTACGGTAGCTACAGCTACAATTAGCCAGTTTATTTTTCCCTGTAAGTAATCTTCAGCTTCAGTGTTTGATGTACAGGTATTGTTCATGCTGTTGTGGACAGTGCTTCGAGCTTGTTGTAATCACACCAGCCCCATTGCTATAGGGTCACCCTCCAATTACCCACTCCGAACAGGAATAGCTTTGCTGTCACATTACAAGAGTATTTTCAGGCCCCACTTCTTCACTGCTATTACATGTTCTTCCATACTCTGAAACATCACGTCCATGCCTTTCATCTTCTGACACGAAACAGCTGTACAATTAACCTCTGAACCTGTGAGATCTGAGCCATCACAGTCAGTAAGGCACTAAGCAGGGGGTACGTGGGGACAATTCATAGAGAAAGCGCCGTGAATACACATTGGCTGCACAGCCACCGTGGAAGCCAGGGAGGAATGTGATGAATCTCCCCACAGAAGTCCCGTGGTGACACTGAAACACCAACACCAAAGACCTTCACAGTGACGTACATGCACGCAGAGTATTCTAGTGCCTTGTAGTGAAAATTCTGTGGATGTCAGTCATTTCAGTATGTAGCGTATTATTAGCCAGAAGAAATGCACATATTTTTGGCGAGTGAACACGAGAGCCACACACATGCACAGCCTCATAGACAATTGTCGTCTTACACAAAGTCCCATCGGGGGATGGAAAAATGTGCACTCAGACAACTACTTTCCTCTCCAATAATTAACCAGAACCTTTCCTCAACTTTAACTACGTAGTTACTAAAGATAGAACAAAACAATAGGGCCCAGTGCAAGAATGCAATTAAGTTTCTGTTTTTTTTAGTAACAGTCTCTAAATTTAGCCCTACTGTCAGATTGCATATGTTTGTTATGGAGAGAAAACACAGAGTGTTTGTCCATGACAACAACACACAAATAGTGCGTGCATAGGCAGACACCCACTGAGCATGAGATCGAGAGTTGTTTATATGTATATGTATACGGAGCTGGGGGAGGTGTTGACATTGGGAAGGCAAGGAAACAAAGACTGGGGAGCAATAACGTCTGATGCTAACTTTGTGCACAGAAATGTCAGCTAACGGTAGCTTATTAGATGGTGTGTCAGAGTGTACGTAGCAACAGAGGGGTGCACCATTACAAGACACTGTACTGGCAGTAGCTTGTTTAGTCTCGTATTCAAGGTACTCCACTCGCAAGGGGAAGGAGGATTTCCTGGTGGTATAACTAACATGAAAACTCGGTCCTATTCTATATAGCATATGCAAGGCCCTGTATACCAGGGACTGTGGGACTGGAGATCTCAATTTCGAGACCTACACCAATTACGTCATTTACCTACATCACACCCCTTTTCCACATGATACGAGTGGGTGTGCTCTGATGATGAAACTAGCCCGCCGATGCTAGCACATTCAAAGTAAGGTCACCAGGCTAAGAGTCTGCAATTGTACATCTGCAATGTCATGCACCACCTGTCACAATCACTTGATGTATATAATTATGTATACTCGCACTGCAGTGCCAGATCTGTTTGTATTGGATGTACATAATTATGCTCTACAGCCATTCGGTAACAGAATGCTATACCTTCATACAGTGCACACTCAGCTACGAACATACAAGTACATACACAGGCCAGACATAACAATAATATCACACTACATGACTAGGTGGACTTGTATACAAAAGGTTGGTCATGGTTTATGTACAATACCTGCAAAGAGATTGTCAGCAAATCTCAGCAGTAGCGAGCTCTTTCCAACACCTGCCACATGCATAGAACGAGGAGGGAGAAAAGAGAGAGGTGGAGGGAAGGGTTAATTACGCACGTAAGAGTGGGGTTACCCTCTTTCAACTTTAGTGACAATGATTGATTCTATAGGATGTTATGGCTGTGATATAAACAAATGCATCTTTCAATAAAGAAAAAAGGAAATATACACAACAGATAATCTAAGTTCTCCCAGTCTGTGTACTACATGTACATATTGACCATTGCATAATGCTGGGATAGCCAGAGACACTGAGAGGCTCAGGTATGGATGGCGACATGGAGACATGTCCTATTAGGGACTGCATACCAGGAACATCCAGTCATCTAGTGGCATTATCATTGGACCCTTACTGAACATCACAGGCCTTGTCAGTACAGGCCGTGGCCCCCCCAGCCGCTACACGGTACTTGCACAGGCACCACAGGCCGTGACTGTGCACATACAGGCCAGAGTAGCTACGGTCAATGAGTTGAGTTGGCCAGTGACCACGCCTTGCAGGCTACCACGACACCACTCGTCCCCCAGAGCCGCCGTCTACAGCCCACTCACCACTGTCCCCGATGATGAGTAACTTGAAGAGATGATCGTATTCTCTGGCCATCTCTCAGACCGCCACGGCCTCACGGAAACAATGCTGAGCTCTAGAGAGTCGTAGCAAAGGATACGAAGCGCTTAACAATTAAGCGCCGTGCAACGCAAATTACCATTAACCCCTTTGCGACTGTATTTTCTACATCTGGTAAGTCATCATGGCATCTGTGGCGTTCTCTCCCCCTCGAAAGTGATACGCGTAGCAGCACCAGAAGTAGCTCATGGATAGCGCTGTGTACTGGCTTGGCGTAGTCGCCCGGATTCTGCTCTTCCTTGTACTCATACGGTAAGAACACAGTGAGGAAACCATGTGGTATATACATATGCCCCTTTTCTACATGTTATGGTTGTGTATATTTCTGTGTATGCAACCGAACTGACATATATATACTGTTGTTGAGGGACAAACCTTTAGTTTCGTAAAGAAAACTACTGATTGCAGAAATATTGGCCCCTGTCTATTGTGGGGGGACTTACTCCCTGCCCATCAGGATTCACAGAGGACACTGTGATTTATTAAGTTTACAGGTGTTTTGTGCATCTGTGTGTGCACGCAGGGTGTTCGTGTGGGGTGTAGTGTGGCTGGTGGACAAGGTATGGGGGGTGAGGATGGGGATTGGCGGCTGGAGACTCATGGGTTTTGACTCCCTCTCTCTGCGCAGCCACACCTGTGAACTGGTGAGCTCACGAAACAGGGCAAAATAACACCAGACGCCTCAAACTCTATGCAAATTTAAACAATTTCTCTTCAGGAGATTCTGAGGTTGTTTGTCACCATCAAATGGTTCGACTCCAGCTGCAGGTATATGTCAATATGCTGTATTCCTTTACTCCCCTCCTGTAACAAACATGATGGGTATCAGACATGACATTTCTCCCAAAGATGGCCGCATGACACGAACTGTAAATTTTGGAATTAGCATGCACTTAGATTACTGTTGAGTGTTTAAATGCGTAAGTACATACAAACCAACTATCCCTAATACAGTTGGAGTATGGAATACTTAGTAACATACTCTATCTTAGTGCATGTATCCATATCCCGCTTTACCAATCCCTATCTTACCCAAATTTCGCTGTCCTCCCAAATGAGAGTGTGAACGATTTTGCATTTTTTGTAGAAACAGAAGTGTAATAAGAGGCAAACTAACTTTACCTAATACTTTGAATACAGTTGGAGTATGGAATAGTAACACCATCTCGTCCTACTATCTTGCCTAAACAATCTGGTATAGCTGAGCAATGCATGACAGTCTAGTGTTTGAAGAAACCAAGGCATTTCTATTACCACTTTGTAGAGGTCTTTTGTCTATGAGCTCCACTAGCCCCATACATGGGTATTAGAGTACACATGGATCTTTTCGCACCAGAGTCTCTCGAGTCTCGAGTCTCGAGGTGTTCATATGTACGTGTGTGTACTGCAGCACGTGTGAACAGCACTGAATATTCCAACAAACTGATCTGGTTATGTGTGAATGTGTGCATATGCAATGCAAGCACGGCATCTGTAAGCATAGCAACTAAAAACCTGTGGTTAGGGATGACCGTTACCCTTGCCTGTAAAACTAAGGAACTTATCACCTCGCCCCTCTTAGTCAGTCAACTTATGTTTGAGCTTTTCTGCTGTCTGCTCACCCATAGTTGCCCTGAAAGTAAAACTTCTAATCCCACATGTACAGATCCTCTCTTCATACTTTCATCCCTTTCTTAAACATTGTTTTCTGCAGGCGTTTTTTCAAAGTGAACATCAACAGGCTCCATTTGGAATGTCTTCTCCTTCCTCCTCCTCCTCCTCCTGGTGCCAGTGCTAGGAGGACCTCAGTCAAACAAATGACATCATCACCTCACAAAAGTCAGTGTCTGATAGCGCGCCCCAGTCAGTAACGTAACACACTTGAAACTTGAGTGGATTGCAGAGTACGGGCACAATTTTCAAGTCCTCCATCGGAGTATATATCAGAATTACACTACTGGGATTTTGTGTTAAATGGGTTTTGGGAATGTATTCTTGGTCAGTTGTCTATGACCTTATAGTCCATTGCTGGTATTTGCAAGATGTGCATGCTGTCCTGGTGTAGCTGATTTTTGTTGTTGTGCCTTTGCCTTTCTACCTCGTACATGCACCCAGGGTCCTGCCTCTTTCTTTCTGTTTATATGTTATTGTCTGTGTTTTGTGTGCTTGGGTATGTTATTGTCTGTCTTGGGTGGGGGAGGTTCTTTCTTTTCCTCTGATATTATTCTTTTAGCTAGTATGCTATAAACATGTAGTCTGAGTCATCCTGGTAATGTGGCTCTTGCTTTCTCCCTACCATACCATACCATACCCCTTCAGAACGTGCATAACAAATTCTTGACCGCTTTTCTTGTTCTACTCAGGGCGCTCTCTGAGACAAAGATTGCTCTTCCGGATTCTTCGATTCATGGCCAAAGTCTGTCATGCATGAGTTTTCCAGGAGCATTCGTATACAATGTACTGTGTGTGTACATGTCCCCCTAGCATGTGGAGTTGTGTGTGTCAAAGTTGGAGGTCTCGGTACAGGACGTGGTGGACAAGGAGGTGGAGTTTCTGGGCGTGGTCATGGTGAGAGAGGGCGTGTCCCTGCTTGCCCAGCCTATGCCAGACAAGTAAGTCTCAACTAAACATTTTTTGTACGTGATCAACAAACTTGCGACGCAAAGGAAAAAATGGCCTTCGGGGTTGTTTTGCTTTGCATCCTTGTTGTTAATCATGGATCATGTGGCTAGCTCGATTAAGTCCAAAGTCAAATGCTGACTTTTCTTCATACGTATGAGCTACCAGGCCAGCTAGGCAAGTGAGGTGCAATCAATACGACCTCCATACTAGTACAGTTTACAACCCTATATACATTATAATAGGTCAATATTTCACTTAGTATACATGCCCATGTGGTGGCAGCAATTATGGAAGTTGTGCAACCCAAGATGTCTAGAGCAGTTGCGCTGGCGTCCATAAACAAACATGTTAGAACAGTTATCTCCATTAGGTGGTGTACATAATTGAATTATGGCATTGCAATGAAGGCCATTTGTGTGTATGTGGGATGTGGCAGTTGAGTGGGAAGTCAGGCAGCAGGCCAAAATATAACGTGGGTCACAATTAACATCCCTACTGTTGATACACCGCTAGACTCTAGACTATTGTATACAGCTGTAGAGAGCGACTTGCAGAGGAAGAAACCTTCATTGCAATTCAGAAAGAAGTGTACATCACATGGTCTAATACCTTCATGTAACAATTTCGTGAAGTAAGCCTCTGTATATACAAAATGGTCCTGCCACAAATAAAGAGAGTTGTTTGTTCATGGATCTGAAACCTCGAAACTTGCAAAAGTGATATCCGTCAATATTTTAATTTGGTGTGTGTTTGTTTGTTAACGGTTCCGCCCATTGCTCTCATGGGTGCGTGGTCTATGGCCCTAGTGCTATGGCAGCCACCTGAGTATTATTATGTCTCGAACAGGATGTTGGCGATGTCTGTGGATGTGGAAAGTGTCAAAGCACAACTTCTAATGCTCTGTCCTCACACGGTAAACCGCTTTACATCATCTAATACAATTCGCGCTATTGAGTGGAACTGTGGGTTGCACACATACGTAAACATTAAGGTACATGATAATCGCCATATGACCCCCCAAATAAGGACACCTTTCTAATAAGGGCATTTTTTTCCCAAAGCAGTTACTTGCATGCAATTTAACAAGAACTCTTTCTTCTCTCTCATTGGTGTCTGATTCCACTGCATTATAGATGTTGAACCACTAGCAGTAATAATGCGGTGTCTGTCTCCCCAGGAGAGGACTGTGGGTGGAGAGGAAGAAGCCTACTCTCCTCTCCTGGAGGTGGAGGGGAGCTCGAGAGTCTACCTGTACCTCCAGCCCCTGGGAGCCCCCTCCCGCCCCACGCTGGCCTCCGTCCAAATCAACACCGCTCCTCTCTCCTGCGTCCTCCTCAGAGAAGGTGACTGTATACATACAAAACTCCAGCTATATACATAGGGCTCAGAGAAGGTACTGTAACTGAAGGATTGTTAAAGTACACAGACTGGTTCGTAGGGAAACTAAAAGAGAAAGAACCAACTCCTTTCGTGAGTGAAACTCAGGTGTGGAGACTGAAATTCCAGTGGACTATACAACTGAGCTGTGCAGCTCGCAGGATCTTCCCCAACTAAATTTGCAGCTATGTACTTATGTACATGGGAGTACGTATGTCTTGCTTATCCGACTACTAAAGCCACACCACTTGAATCAAGGGGGTGTTGAGATAACTTAAGCAATGCCTTTACGCGTGCTTTGGGTGCTCAGCGAATTTGTTTTAGCCATACGTATTATTGCAGCTTGGAAGTGACAACATTGCAAAAGTGGATTTTGTTGCATCATGTTGACTGCAGAATGTAGAAATGAAATGGCATAATGTTACATCTAGTAGATGCTCAGATGAACGTTATAGAGTTATTACTGACCAGGCAGGTGAGGTGTGTGTGTGGTGTGTGCGATGGGGTTTGTGTAAAAACACGTGTGTATGTGTGTAAACTGCCCAGTTTGTGTTCCTATTTTAATTTGTGTATGTTTCTTTGACAGGAGCATTTAGGTATGCAGTGCAGCACCTGAGATCCTACCTACCCCCAAGGAGACCAGCCGGTGCGTGTGCCATCTGATATACAGGATATGTCCTTTAATGGTGTTGTCTTATACACACACAGGTCGAGACTCTCAACTCACTTCAAGACCAAGTCACCAAACTTCCCAAGGTATATACCTCGTATATATTGATGCAGGAGTGTGTACAATCACAGTATATACAGTTGTGCCACAAGGGAGCAAATTTAGGGTAGTTCACAAGTTTTTCCAAGCCATTCACATGAACGTTTTCCCAGCTGAATTTTGCGAACGGACCCTTTGCACAGCATAATGAAAATGATCCTTGAAACAGGACAAGATTTTCCCTCAAAATGTTCGCCATATAGTTTCTGTATGTGTATAACTCATATTGCTTGCAGGTTGAGATTGTTCTGGAAGACGTAAATCTACTCCACCAGGTCAGAGAGACCAACAGGTATGTGTGTGTGTGTGGGGGGGGACTTACATTTTAGCATTACATGTGCTCTAACATGCTGCAATGCCGGTAAATATTATGTGATACTTGTGTCCATATTATGTGATGCCTGTGTCCATATGCAATGCTTGTTCAATATTTGCTACAGAGTTATATCGTCCAAACTGACGCGAGTATTTTTCAACATTGGTGGTGTGAGCGTGGAGTCTGATGCTAGTAGTAGTCACCAGGGACTCAGTGCAATGGTAGGACTGCAAGGTAAGGCCTCGACATACGTATCTGGAGGTGACGTGATTTTTTTCCTTTTTTCTAAACCTCAGATTTAACAGCAACCGACTCACTTAGTAGAGAATTTTTAAAGCTGAAGCAATTTAGACTCAATTCAAAGGTGAACTATACAATCATGATACTGCATGATATGTGTTATTTTGATCGTTTTTTGGAAGTGTATGTTCAGTATGACATATGCGTACTAGTGGCTCCTTCCAGTAGAAATCTACTGCAGTGAACCTCCGATAAAGCAAGTCACTGCCAACCTCCTCCTCCTCCTCCTCCTCCCCCTCTCTCCTGCAGTATGACTCAGGGCAGCTGTCCAACGTGGTCAAAATGGAGTCCCTCCACTCGACGCTCCGTGAAGACGAGACGGTGTACTGGTGTAAATACCTCATCAGCAGTCTCCGGGCCCTTCGTACCAACACCAGCAACCAACAGCAGAGGCACGTGTACATTATGTACTGCATGTAGAGGAAAACCTTTACAAAGACTGTTTCATGGAGTAAACCATACACTTCTCACGCTGTAAAGAGTACTCCCGTTATAACTTTGCAGAGAAACCATGTGTGGACATAGTACGTAGAGCTCTTAAAAGTGTAGAGTCGACAGTATGATCAATGTTCAGCTTACCTTGTATTATTGCACAGTGCTAGCCTATCGTCATCAAGAGGAGGTGTACTTGATGTACTCAGATCAATGATGTCATCTGCTGTCGTGACGACGGTGGAGGCCAGTGATTGGTCAATCTCGCTGAGGATGGACACGCCCACTCTCCAGTCTAAGGAGCCTCTGGTACAGGCAGTGCTGGCCTCCTGTGCAGTCAACCTCCAGTGGGTTGGGCCTGACTCCACCCACTCTCACCCCATCCTCAGGTGTATGTCTGTAATGTGAAGTAAATCTTGTTGAACTGTCTACTCGATGTCAATGCTCTCTCGTGTGTCGTTGTCTATTATGTACAAAAAAAGTGGTATATACGTACAATCAGGTTCAGTTTTAAGATTAGGAGGTGGGGTTCGTCGACCAGGTAAACGGTGTAAAGTAATGGTTGTCTATACTACATATGTAGTAGAAGAGAGAATGGAGATAGAAGAAGGGAGATACAGATAAACCTTTGTGTAGGAGTTCAGCTGTGTTGTCAGTTAGACCTGGTTTAACTCCTGGTCCTTCAATACACTTTCATTCCAGTGCATCTCTGAGACTCGAGGACGCATACCTACACGTCCCAGGCCACACCCCCTCTCCGGTGTCCGAGGACTCTGCCCTCTTCAGACAGCGGCCAGACGACCCGTCTGTCCTTCCCTCCCTCCGTCGGCACCAGTGGGGCCATCTGCTGGCTCTGGGAAACCTCACCCTCAAGATTGAGAAAACCATCTCCAGCCACTCGCAGTCTGGCGTGGCTGAAGAAAGAGAAGGAGGGGGTAGAGGATGAGAAAATCGAAGAAAAAAGCAGCGAAGAAGTTGAGACTTTGTCGTCTGATTCAGGAGCGAGAGTGGGAGGCGGGTGGAGAGAGGGTGGGGAGGGAGGTGCTAGCTCGAGGTGCGAGTCAGATGTGTGGAGCTGGAGGAAGGTTGTGAGTGTGTTAGGAAGTGGAGAGCCTGGGGTGCTGACTGGGGAGGGATCTAGTCTCATGGTGGAGTGGTCCAGACCAACACAAGTGGCTCTACTGCGGACACTGTCTCACCTAAAACAGCACTACCGTCTGTTTGGTGGTGGGACGGCAGTGGCGGCAAGATCGAACGAGACCGGACAATGGACGGTACAGGAGGGGCAGACCGTACCGGTATCATCACCTCTGCAGTCAGCTCAGGATGATGAGGGGGATGATGGAGTGTCAGTAGGAGAAGGAGCTGGGCTGGAATCAGTCTCTGGACCGGTGGATGAGGGCAACACTATAACTACCACCGGCAGTGTTTTGCACAGTCTGAGTAAAATGACTCTGTCGTTTCACTTCACTGATGCCAACGCTTTCATTTATGGCCTTACACCAAGTATGTACTGGCTTACACTAATACAACGTCAGAGTGTAGTACAATAACATGTATGTATCGTTGACATTTGTCGGCTTAAACAATCAGTAGCTTTGAATATTCAAGAATGTGGTACATTTAGCATGTCTCATTGGTGTAAAATTAGTCTCTGGTTTTGATGACTTTCGATCTGCTATCGTTATGTATGAGCATCACAGTATTTGTTTCCTGAAAGCAGGAGCTATAAATTGTTCTTTTTGTGCACACCCACAGGGCCTCCAGCAGTGATGATGAGACTAGATGCAGTCTCGCTGTCCACCTCCTCCCCTCCTCCTCCCCCCTCCTCCCCCTCCTCCCCCTCCCCCCTCCTCCCCTCCTCCCCCTCCCTCGGTCCAGCTGACCCTCCACGGACTGCTACTGGACTGTCTGTCGAGGGACTCCTCCCTCTCCTCCTCCTTCCTCTGCTCCCCTATGGCCAGTCTCCCTGCAGGGGTGGGGCTGGGTGTGGTCACCGCTCTCAACCTCGGATACCAACACTCACTCAAGGTAACCATAATACACATTTTGTGTGGTAGATACCTTGATTTTTTGCAATCGTACATGCACGAACAGTAACTGATGCACAGCCTACTATGTAGCTATGGTTCACATTGGGTAGTACACACAGTCACCATTTCTAGTGTGCTGAAGTAAGTTGTAAATCCTCACACACTTGTTGATGCTAACTTTTCCACATTATGTGCGTTATGTAGATAACTATATATACTCTGATACTAACTCACAAAATTCTTCACGAATTCTTCGATTGGCCCATCTCACACACGCACACACACGCATACCAGCTGACCACATTTATGAGTGTTTAGTTCTGCAGTATTTTGTGTGCAGGAGATCTCAGTGAGGGTGGTTTGTTTGGAGACAAACTGGAACCCGACCAGCCACCGGTCCCTGTTCCACGTCACCACCGAGGTCTGGAATGGGCTCAGAGACCTGGCTGTAGTGGTAGTCGGATCTCGTCTACCAGCTAACGGGCAGGGGCCCGACATCAAGGGAGAGCATCGGGTGGTTATGATGGGAGAGAAAATAAACAGTGTCATCTCTTGTTTACCCCTGTCGTTGGCCATCGATTTGGATACTGCAGTCTGTCGTGCCTGTGTTGGACAATCTTTAAAGTAAGTAGTCTGTGCACATAAAATAAGAACATTACATTGGTGACGAATGACTATTTGTGTAAGAATAGCATAATACATATGTGCATTCCAATAACGTTGCTGTAGGTATTGGTTCAAATGAGTTAGTATGATGGGGTAACACCGTACAACTCTAACAGACAAAACGTAATCCAGAAAAACCAGACTCTAATGTATGTCAGTATTTAACTGTGATGTGCATGCATGCACGTACAAGAAGTGGGTGAGGGACAAACGTACATGAGTTGTGGTATGTTTTGCTGATGAGGACCAACAAGCCCGAAACAGCTGTCCAGAGCTCCACATCTTTTTTCTCTTGGCATCACATGGTCTATTGTTACATGAAGATTCACCCTAATACGGCTTTGAAATTTGAGTATTAATGATCATATTATTGACTGCCTTATATCACGGACTCCCCACAGTGTGTCAGTGGAGATTCAGACCAGCCACTGTCTGGTGAAGGACAGGGCTCTGGCTGTAGATGCCTACGACGTGGGACTGGTCTTTGACAAACACAGAATTGCTACTCTCGAAAACTTGAAGGCCGTGTTTCCGAGTCGAGACGGCGCTGGTCATGTGGAGAGGAGAAAGATTCAACAGATGACGCTGGAATCAAACCCAGCCATGTGAGCCCCCGTCATAATTATCTCTAGACTAAATTAATAATTGCTGTAGAAAGTCATTTCGTTTACACTGAAAATATGGCTGTTAGGTGAAATCACCCAGTACGTAAATGTTCATGCATTTACAACATGTATATCCCAAGTTTTTCCAAAACTGGTGTAGCTTTGCTTTGCAAGACACTACCTATTTCAGGCTGGTAAAATCATTATCTTGAGTGGGAAGCTGAAGTCACATTTTAATACTGCTCTGTTCTTCCGCATTTTTCAACAGTGACCTCTCAGCATCCAGAGCAAAGTTGATTTTCCCCTATGACTACAACTTTGGTTCAATATTTGATCAGGTGGGCGTACTACTACGTATGTATCTATACCGCTTGTGTGTAGTTTGGCTGCTATTAAGGCCATGATACGCGATGCAACTTTTGAGACAAAGTTGCATTGAACTTCAAATGTATGTGTATGATTGGTCCACGAAACAAGGTACGCAATAGAATAGAAATACTCTGTTGACCATATATATATATACTTATGCATTTGAACTTGCGTGCAACTTTGTCTCTCACAACAAAGTTGCGTTGTGGATGACCTTTATTGGCGAGGGAGGCGAACCCACTTAAATGTGGGGTTTTCATAATTATATCTTTGTTGAGACCTGAACAGCCACACTGCACATACCGTAATGCATGTTCTGCGTGATTCTAAATATGCGTGAAACATGTGCGAAAATTGAACTGCTTGCTTCGCTTGCCAAAATGCGTTGCATTCGTTCATACATGTGTACATTGTACAATATGTGCAATAGGTGATGACAGTGAGGAAGTACCTTGGCCAGCTGCACAGTACTGCAGGGCCTACGTCAACCCTCTTCCTCCCTCCTGACGTACACCTCCAGTGTGGAGAGGCTTTCTTGCAGCTGTGTGAGGACCCCTTTGAGGCCAAACTGAGAGCAAACTACGAAGTAAACAAAGTGTACACGCATGGAACATTTTGGTGGAAAAGTTAAAAAAATTTTCATTGGTTTGTAGGGAGAGGGACAAAGGGCATGCATGTATAGGTTGCAGCTTTCTTCGCTGTGCTCTCTTTTGCTAGCGACTTCTTTGTCAAATACATACATGTACATATGTGGTAAGAGTGTTAGTTTCTCTCTTCTGCGTGTCTTGCTGCTGTAGCTGATGTGTGATGAGTATGAACAGAAGTTGGACCGACTGAAGGCGCTGGACAAGAAAGTAGAGGAACTGAAGATGAAAAAGGGAGAATTCGGCCTCTCAGGTAGGTCACTGACTTTACAGATATGCATACACACAACATGCGTGCGCACGCACACACACACACACACACAGTGTGTTTGTGTGTGTCCAAGGGTACTACAGTTGAGGTCTTCCTTAGGAGTCAGGAATAGTGCTAAACTCTTGAATGACTCACCATTGAAAAGCATGCTGCTGTTTGAAGCCTTGAGCCTTCTTAAAAGGAGGTGACGTGAAACATAACAACCCTTTCATCATTGCCATACAAAAACCTATCTGCAATTGGTGTGGTGGCAGGTTTCTGCAACTGGAAAATTCGTTTTAAAAACTGCCCTCATGCTGAAGAAATACGTTCACGGGTTGCATAGCTGGCTCATGTAGTAGCACCTAAATCTGAGTCCTGATCTCATTGTCCCATGCATGTACGTACGTATGCAGCCAAGAAGATCCAGAGTCTGTACGATGCCCTGGTGGTGAAGGACTGTCAGATCTACTGCCGGCGGGCACAGGAGCTCCACGGGTCCCCAGACGACTGCAGAGACGAGCTGTTTGTGTTTCGTCTGGAGCGGGTCCAGCTGTGGGCCATGTTTGATCCCAGCATGCTGGCCAGAGATAGACTGGTCGACCAGATCCGGGACATGGACGACATAAGGTGAAATCCATGGTGCATTGGGGTAACCGTGTAATAGGCTCGAGTCTACCTAATCACGATCTTCATTGAAGAAGAGATAAGCCAACCATGCTGTTTATCATTGGACTATATGGAATAGTAGTGCAATCTGTGTTTCTGATCTCGTGGGTTTATTTCATGTGTGTCCCTGGACACAATTAATGCATACATACAATATTGGTCTAAAACTGGAGTGTCTACAATTTCTAAACACCACTAGAACAGGACCGCTACATAGCGTTTGCGACTATTCTTCAGTTCACACTTGCTGCTCTAGCTCATGGCGACACACTTCCTCATTAGCATCTTTTTGCTTTTCCTGAACTTTTCCTTTTTCACATATAGTACTACTCACTCTTCCTTTCACTTGGTGCCTCTACATCCTTAGCTGCCTTCTTTTTGAACTTCATTCGGCAGAGGAAAAGGGTGAAGGTGGTAGTGATGATAAACAAGATGAGTAGGAGTGATACTGCTGGTGCAGAAATCACAGCATATAGAGAAGCATTGGCAGTTATACCTGTGAAAAGTGCATTGGTACACAAGAAGCATCATTTTGCTAGCGTTGACTTATACACAGATACACGGGGTAGTTGGGGTTATTAAGCCGCTGACCTTGACATATCTGTGTACCATTGAGAGTGACTTCATGATATCCGTCATCACATTGACACTGGGGGATCTGACCAGACCAGCTACCATTAGAGGTAGTACACGTGACATTCGGCCTTGCGGAGTAGGTGGCGTGGGCATTGTCAGCACACTGTACAGTGACAGTCACTGATCCACTGGCTGGAGCTAGAGTAGTGGGATAGCGAACTAGACCCTCACTCCTCCCCTCACACACCCCACAATCTATAAAAACAAGCTCAATGAAAGACGATTGTGATCATTTCAGAGAGCTTACCTTCACAAGTTGTATGAGCAGCTGGCGGCGTGGTGGCTGTATGGAGATCAGTAGCGAGAGGATTCGCTGGTGGAGGATTTGTAGCCGAGTGTGGTGAGGGGGCCACTGTAGGAGGGCGTGTAGTGGGACGAGAAGGTGTGGGAGAGGTGGATGCCCCATCAAGTGTACCATTGGTATCAGTTGTGGGAAGAACTATTGGACTACATCCAGCTCCGCCACTAACAGACAGCCCACGTGAACCACGTTTGCCTGTTGGTCGCCTAGGGTCAGGTGGTTCACATCCTGATCCACCAGGTATGCCTGTTATTGGAGGAATTGTGAAGCTAACAGATCCACGAGCAGGTACAATAATAGTTTCAACTGATCCTGTTGAAGAAGTTGTAGGTCTAGTAACAGAAGCAGCAGGGGAATCGTTACGCTAGATGTCTCAGGTGGTGATGTTTGGGCAGAACGTATTGCTCTGGTTTCTCTTTGTTGAGCCACTAATGTGAGAAAGTCCGTTGGGACTGGGGAAGACCACGTTTGCGTATTCCGTGAGGAGTACCTGTGGTGTGGGTAGGATATCTCCTTGTGAAATGAGAACTGGAGACTGAGGACTTACGTATGCCGTGATTATCTGGTGTGCCACGTGAAATTACGTTACCAGGAGGATGATGAGTATGAGTAGGACCTGTTGAGGTAGAAACAAATATTCTGTTTTAGCCCAGACCTTTGAGAGGATGGGTCTAGTTGCAACAATTCAAAGAGCTCTAGTAATGTTACAAAGCACAGAGCATCACTTAAAATCATTTACATGCAAGCTATCAACTAATGACTATGTCCATAAATTTCTTACGTACCTGAGCTGACATAGCCTACACATACACTCAGCACCAGACCCACCAACATCCACGGCTGAAACAGAAGTCAAACCTAAAAGCTAAGCATTAAGTAGCAAAAGAACGTGAATGTTACCGTTGCAGTTGCCATCTGCCGAATCGCTACACAAAATTTTGCCAGTTCAGGTGTTGCGGCTTTGCAAAAGGTTGGGTATAGCTTTTAATATGTTTTTGAACTCAGTGTGTGATGTGTAGGTACACATAACCCATCATTACATCTACAGCACCGTTGTCTCCTAATAAAGTCATATGTAGTCACATTAAAGAGAATTAAATGTGATTTTTGTTAAGTATACATTTGTTGCTGCGCAAACCCTCGGCCTGGCCCATGCAGCGTGCACGTCAAAAGAATGTTAGATGGCTTCCTGGCCCCCTCAGTTCTAAAAGATGCATTGATGAATGCTCAAATCTGGCCAGTTCTGGTAGTCAAGCAACGCAGCACTTGTCCTGGAAAATGTACGATGATAATTGGGTACTAACATGGCTTATACAATTCAGACACTTTTTTCACAATATTGGTCTAAAACTGGTCAAAATGGAGTTTCTAAAATTTCTACACGGCACTAAAAGAGTACTACGTATTACTAATCTACATAGGCTCTTCTTCATTTCACGAGCTCGGCCACTTGCTTCTCCCGGCAACACACAGCGTATATGCCTCATTGGGATATACGGGCAATTTCATATTACATCGGGATATATTGTGCAAGGCATATGCTTTGTTGGGTACAATAACTTCCTGTCCAAGATTCTCACATCTAACCATTCCGTGTGCGTCATTGCGATACACGGGCACTTTGAGGCATTCTGATGTGTTGTGATGGGGATAAGCCTGGTTTGGTGCAACTGGAACACATGCTCTCTTCTTGATCCATGGTTTTTGCTTCTCCCGAACTTTTGCACATGAAGCGCTACACTTCCTTTCATTTGGTGCCTCTACATCCTTAGCTGCCTTCTTTTTGAACTTCATTCGGCAGAGGAAAAGGGTGAAGGTGGTAGTGATGATAATCAAGATTAGTAGGAGTGATACTGCTGGTGCAGAAATCACAGCATATAGAGAAGCATTGGCAGTTATACCTATGAAAAATGCATTGGTACACAAGAAACATCATAACATGTGATGTGTACTGAACGTGCAACAGAAAGAGGCAAAAACACCTATATACACCTCCTCCCTTGTATCCATCCACTGTTTTGTGAGGAAGAAAGAGTATCTATGTATGCAATCAGTGTTGCAAAAAGTTTCAGAGTTTTTCCGCACATTCATTCGGTATTGCTTACACCACAGTCCGTTTCCCGAAGGAAAGTATGAGTTCTCCACACTGTGGGGAATGTACGTCTCTGGAGACACTGAGAAACTCCAGGTAAAGATCACAGGCTCCGACCACATCTCTATCAATGTTTTAATTATGCAGCTACAATTGAGGGACTACCCCCATCCACTCTTCCAAGGCACCAACTGGAGAGCAAGTGGGAGGATTGTTTTTGCCGAGCAAGAAGCACAGGAGAGAGGTCCGCACATTTTTATTACTTACAGTGAGGAAAATATCTGGATGCGAATTGGCTGCTTCCCATTATTTTTTTAAATAAGTTCCACTCTTCCTTTGTGGTTGCAAAGTTACGTATAAAGCCAAGGTTTTTGCGCAAATGCTGCAGAGACGAGGAGTGCAGTGGTGGAGCTGAGTCATCCCTGGAAGAGCGTGACCATTCTGAAGAAACTCCCTCCACTCAAGTACTACTATGACCTGGAGATGGGTGAGTCTGAGGGGAACACAACGAGTTTTGGGCTATATATGATATATTATACCCTTTATGCATTTTGAGAAGAGCAAAGATATTTACCTACCTACGTATGCTTCATTGACACTAGCAATGCTCAGTACATTGTATCATGTGTAATTCTCAGAAATGTGCATGTGCAGATGTGTCGATCTCTATGCAGATTCGTCTACACTGGTGTGGTGTCATGGACCGTGTCTGGAGCCAGCTCTGGCCCAGACCGGCATTGCTATGGGTAAGTCCCTCCTCGTTAATCATCAGAGAACAGGCGACAGCCAGTTGGGTGTTTGCAGGTCTGCTGAGCAAGCGGACAGTGGATCCCAGCCGACCACTTGCATACTGGGATAGGGTATGTGCCTATACTGCTACTCTTAGCTCCAACACTGACATAATTACATACATTCATATATGATACTGATCGAAGCAGGTACTAAATCCTTCATTTTGCACCGTTATAGCCTGCCACACCTAACTGAGCAGGATTGCGTGAACATGATGAATGCATGGTGCAGTCATGCTACATTTAAGTGCCACACTACCATACTTTAGGAAGCATATTTTAGCAATAAAACTGCATGTACATATCAGTGTAAAATATTAATTGGCTTTGTGCATTACCATCAAAGTCAGATAGCCACTACACTGCCGTTCCTTGCAGTTCCGTCTTCTGTTCCACGGTAGGATACATCTCTTCACAGAGGAGGCAACGATCCTGTTGCCCGCCACCTTTGACCCTTACAACACTGTCAGCTATATTGAGATCATCCTGAGGAACCTTCACACCCACCTCATCACCAACAGTAGGCATCATTCACAATACCTTGTAGTTTTTCATGTGTACGTTGTCCCATCCGAAGAGGCAAGTAATACATGTAGTCTGCAGGGGAGCCTAAAGACTGTATTACTTCTACAGACGTAAAGCCTAAAGACTGTATTACTTCTACAGACGTAAAGCCTAAAGACTGTATTACTTCTACAGACGTAAAGCCTAAAGACTGTATTACTTCTACAGACATAAAGCCTAAAGACTGTATTACTTCTACAGACGTAAAGCCTAAAGACTGTATTACTTCTACAGACGTAAAGCCTAAAGACTGTATTACTTCTACAGACATAAAGCCTAAAGACTGTATTACTTCTACAGACGTAAAGCCTAAAGACTGTATTACTTCTACAGACGTAAAGCCTAAAGACTGTATTACTTCTACAGGCATAAAGCCTAAAGACTGTATTACTTCTACAGACGTAAAGCCTAAAGACTGTATTACTTCTACAGACGTAAAGCCTAAAGACTGTATTACTTCTACAGACGTAAAGCCTAAAGACTGTATTACTTCTACAGACGTAAAGCCTAAAGACTGTATTACTTCTACAGACGTAAAGCCTAAAGACTGTATTACTTCTACAGACGTAAAGCCTAAAGACTGTATTACTTCTACAGACGTAAAGCCTAAAGACTGTATTACTTCTACAGACGTAAAGCCTAAAGACTGTATTACTTCTACAGACGTAAAGCCTAAAGACTGTATTACTTCTACAGACATAAAATAAGATTTGTCAGTCAAGTCTTTCAGGTTCCCATCCAGCTTTTATCACAGACATGTTCACTTAAAACCCTTTGGACGCCATGGGTATCTCCTTAAATGAGCAGTACTCGATGTATTATAGTATAGTATTATAGCCGTATATAAATTCTTATGGACTTATGGAGGCTCTGGGCATATAATATATATGCCCGTGGCTTGCTAAGGGTCCGTTGCTGTGATGTATGTATGGAAAAAAGAGTTGTCCTGGGTGTAGTTGATTTGTTTGCCTTTGCTTTGCTTTCACCTCGTCATTGACATGTACGTACATACAGAGCAGTTGGAGCTGGAAGGGTCCTTGCAGGCCTACGTCCACAATGCCACCAAGTACGATGACTGTGAGCTGGCCAATTTCCCCCACGTCAAGACGAGCCTCACCTGCCACTGGGTGTGTGTCGGCAGAGACCCCCACAATCACCACGCCGTCCGTCGCTGTGCCCCCGACAAGATCCCCGTCCTCCCTGACAAACAAGTAGGTTCAATCACACATACACTCCTAGAGCTACCCTCTTCAAAGTACTCTTTGTTGGGTGGTTAACCAGTGTGAGGTTGGTCAGTGCATTATCAACTAAGAGCTGTATGCATATACAGTCCATAGTACACTGAGGTATATAGTATATATACTTCACCTGAGTTTAGCAGCTATTTCTCTTCCTTTCTCTCCCGTTTTGTGTTCTTTAACCAACCACCCTTGGGTCATCTTTGCCCCTCTCTCTGTCTGTCTCTCTGTGTGTGTCTAACTCCTCTCTTTCTCTCTGTCTCAAAAGGAGCATGACTCGTACAGTGTGTTTAGCTCACAAAAAGTGGACGTGGATTGGACCCTGCAAGCACTGCCCCAGAAAGACAAGGTATAATTTGAGTTATTCTGTGTGCGAGTGACTACAAAAGTGTGACATTCTGCTCCCTGTTCCCCAGGACCCAAACCCTCCCTCTCTACTCCTGTTCTTCAGCACCCTCCGCTGGCTCCAGCAGTACCAGGTCTGACACACTCTGTACCTGACTCTGGTAACATGTTTACCTTGTTTTGTGTATTGGGTGCGGTGTGTGTGTTATGTATGTAAACACACAGCCAATGTATTTAGTTTCTTTACCTGATCTGCTTTCTTTGGTGTGTGTTTGTGTGCTGTGCGTACATGCTGTGGCAGGTTCTCCTGTCACTGAATGTGACTCGACCGATTCGCAAGGGAAGCAAGTGGAAAGTTGCCAGAAAGAGAAACAGACCAACTCTTCTTAGGCACTGGAGGTCAACTCTTTGTTCATTGTCTCTCTTTCTCTCCTTTGTGATACACGCAGCAAAATACACATTCATGCTATTACGTATGAACTAACATAGCGCATAAAATTTATCATAAGACGCAAATTCACACAATTACTCACCTGCCACTGGGTTAACAGTTCACGTAGAAACAACTAAGTATACCCATGTGTTTATCAAAAACGGTGATAGTTGGAGCTTTGTTATGCCCTTGTATGCACATATTGCACACCTTGTATGTGTAATGAATATGCACATTTCGATAAGGTGAAAAGTTACTAATTCTCTGTCCCCAGAAACCTGAAAATCGACGTGTCGTTTCCAAAAAGTGTGCTCACTCTCTGGACCTCGGTTGCCCGGCAACGGGGTGTGGAATGCATAATTGAGTCGGGGAATGCGAGCATCTCGTACCTCATCCAGCTGACTCCGTACACAGACGGTCTCATTCGCAGACCGAACCGGACCTGGACCATCGTCAGTTTCAGTGGAAACGTGAAGGACTTAATCGTGTTTGTTGAAAAGAAAGACAAAGTTTCAAAGGTGTGTTCCCGTAAAGCTGGTTAGTGAAGCAGCCGTTTCACTTTTCCTGAGGGTTTATTTCCAACTGCAAAATACAAGCTTTTTTGTGACGTAGCAGTTTGAATTTCCGATTTTTATAAAGTATGGCGATGCTACATGCTGTAATGCTTTACTTACGTACTTCTAAATGCATGTAACACTGTTGGAATTCCACAAGCTCGCCAATAATGCGTTGCATTTGCTCTCCAAATGGTGCCTCTTTTCTCCCTGTGTGTCGTGTGTTGTCAGTCGGTGGAGGAAGAGAAGGTGGAGGAGGAGGAGGGAGCTGGTGATCTCCTCATATCCAATCCTCATGCCCAGGAGGTGGATACGGAGGAGGAGGGAGGGAGAGAGAGAGAAGAGTCCACCAGGTCCATTCTTGGCTATACTGCCGAGTAAGTCCACTGTGTAATGGTATTATTAGTAGGTGTAAATTTGCATTGTGCATGTTTCTTGCATGTGCACACTCACTTTCACATAACTGGGCATGCAGCATTCCAGCTGCTATATACACTGCGTTAACCTTTGAGCTTTAATGTACAATTCATGAGAATGCTCAGTGTGTACTCTTACGTACGTACGTATGAACATAAATCATAAGTGAGGCATGAAAGCAAAGGAAATGCAAAGCTCAACGACACCCAGGAGAAAAATTTTTTTCCGAAAAAGGAAGGCTGTTCTAGTGTGCATGAAGTGTATTCATTATTCCAGGTTGAGTTACAAACGCCAAGAGGACAGTGATGAGACTGAGTCTGAAGAAGAGGTATATTTTATAACATAATTATAACTAAACCCTGAAACTTTCTTTCCAAAACTTCAGTGGTAACGCTCTTATTATGTACATATTTACTACTCAAAACAGCTATCTTGATTTTGAACACACAGGGCTTCACTCACCAGTTGAGTATGCTCGACACTCGTGTGCTGGTGACTGCCTCCAACAAGCAGGTGGTGCTGGGGCTATATGGCTCATACAAACAGGCACAGGTATATATGTACATATGTAGAATGGCCCACATTTTGTATCCACCAGTGATGTTTGTTGAACAACCTAATGCCTGTGTATCTCGTTATGAAATGTGCAGACATTGAAGAGGGACTTGTCAGCAGAAGCACTAAAGAGTCTGGTGACTGTAGTGGAGCCTCCGCTAGATCCAAAGACCACCGCTGTATGTTCACAATCTGTATATTATACGTGATTCGTGACACACGCGCGAAAATCGACCTGCTCGCACTCGCTTGCCAAAAATGCGTGGCATTTGTTCTAGTAAAACATGTTCCCTCCCTGCAGGCAGGGGAGGAGAGTGGGAGCAGCCCAGAGACCTCAGCCAGCAGTGGTGGAGGCAGCAGGCCAAGCAGTAGCAGGAGACTCCACAGACACAGCAGCTCGGGCAACGTCATGCTGGACCAGCTACTGAAAGACCTAGGGAACAGACTCACCTTTGCTGAAGATGTGAGTGTTAGGTCACAGCAGGCAGGCATACTGTACATTGGGATTGCTGTTTTACTTCCCCATTTATGTTGAACATGAATGGGGAAGTAAAAGTAGTACAGTATTTATGTTGAACATGAATGGGGAAAACAATAATCCCTGCTCTGAGCATGTTAATAGAGTTTTAATCTTGTGTGTGACTCACAATTCTGTAGACGTCCACCGTGAAAGCTCCACTGAAGGGAGTCAAACTGGCCAGTGGAGAGGACATCACTCACAAGAACTGGCTCAGTATGTACTGCTGCCCCTCTCTGTCAATTCACAACCTCTCATTTCTCTAACAAGACACCAAACAAAACAGACTCTTCTCTTGACTTTTAATGCCTCTGTCAGTGTTTCTTGCATTTTTTTTAATCAAACAAACACTGCACAAGTCACCAACCTTAAATATGCTGTTTTTGTGACCTCCTTTGATTTCCTTTCTCCCTATCCCCCTACCCACACACACACACCACACAGTCACACTGACCAACATACAGGTGGCTCTGAAAGGAATAGAGACCAGTGGCTACGTGGTGGCCAGCTCAAACAAGGCCCAGATCTTTGGTCAGGAGCACCAGCCGGTACTCAAAGAGGGAGATCTGGTGGCCAAGAAATCATGGCTCACATGTGTCAGCAAACTCCAGGTTATAGCTACTAACACTCCCATGCTTATATGTCCGTGTGCAAATGCATCCCCAAAAAGATTCAACTTCCACACGTTTCATATTTTGCAGCTAACTAGCAACATCAAGTTCATTTTCTTTGTAGTATACTACTAGTCAAAGTGTGCACATGAAGTTCCACTTTGATGTACAAAAATTAAGATTCCCGTATTATCTGTTCACTTGTCGGTTTTTTTTTAAATTTCCAGACCTCCTGAAGGATATTAAGGTCTCTAGATTCATTTTCTCTCTGTCTCCCTGTCTTTCTCTGCAGTATTTCTCCACATTTGGTTCCATGTTTGAGGGAGGTTGTGTCCCCTGGCTCCCTCCCTCCGTCATCTCCGCACCCTCTCCCAAGATAAACAGGGCTCCAGACAGCAGGTGCATACATTTAAGATTACCTGGTGACTCTACAATTTTCCCAATACAGTTATAGAACAGACAGATACATTATGTGCACCGAGCGTGTAAATTAGCCTGAGAAATTGGGTGGCCTGAACATTTCGTACTTTTAGCAGTAAGGGAACCGCTACAGATGCAGGGGGGTTAATTAATAAATGATGCACATAGTGCTGTTGTTTGTGCAGTATGTCCGTCCCCTGTGACTTGGAGTACAGTGTGAATGCCCTGCTGAGCCAGCTGGGGCCAGCCAGGGCTGACGAGCCGGAGGAAGAAGGAGGAGGGGGAGGAGGGGAGAGGGAGGTAAAGGGGTCTGGTGTCCACTCCAGCAGTCGAGAGGCGATGGTCGGTGGACTAGTCAACTGCCTGTTGATCCCGGCTGACCGAGACCCGGGAGGTACGAACTGAGGGGCGGGGCCATCCAGGGAGCTTCAATCCAGAGGATAGCCTCCCGCTGCCAGTGCAATGTCATCTATGTGTCGTACGGAGGCCAGGCTGAGCCCAAAGACTGTGATCATACTCTCCTCACTGTAAGTCCCTGTGTCCAGATTTAACTCTGTTCATGGAATTGTTGATTTGGGCTTTCATGTATATACATACATAACCTTTGCTTATAGTTTTTACCACTGTATAGCATAAGGAAGAACATTTTCCAAATCAGTATTTTACCTTGTGTGTCCCAGTGCATGCACTTGAACAAAGTTTTGGCTAATGAAGTCAGTTTTCTTACATGGAGCTACATAGGGACTATGACCTCATTCCCGCAGCCTGAAGTGACGTCTCCAGGTCTGTCAGGGAACAGGAGTGAAGCAGTGGACACCATCACAGTCACCTACCCCACAGTCAAGATCTGCACCACCTCGGTGAGTCCGCCTATACCACCCTTTGTACATACCTTGGTACATAATCTTACTAGGAATGCGCACGCGCATATCTTGCCTCGCGCCTGCCAGCCAATGCGTGTGTAAACAGTCCGCTGAGGCCACTCGTTCGCATGCTCTACTGACTGCGCGCGAAGCCAGACTTTTTACGAATCTGCGCGCGCGCACGGCGGCTTACGAATGACGGAAGTTGACATTCCTAAGCGTGACTAATTGATATTCCCCAAGTGTGGCTAATTGACATTCCCCAAGCGTGACTAATTGACATTCCCTAAGCGTGACTAATTGACATTCCCCAAGCATGACTAATTGACATTCCCCAAGCGTGACTAATTGACATTCTTAAGCGTGACCGACACGTACGTACGTACGTACGTGCGAGAATACAACCCGGAGTAGTTGCCTCACGCTAACGCGCTCGGCAATAATGTGAGATCACAATAGCAGTGTTTATTGTCCAGGAGCAACAGGCACTCATCATGGATATCATAACGAATCTGGTCCTGCATAAAGAACCCAGAAAAAAGGTGCACATTACGCTATCTTACACTAGTTATATATACATGGAAATACCCATGAATAGAGCCCAGAAAAAAGGTGGCACATACGCATCTTACACGAGTTATATATACATGGAAATACCCATGAATAGAGCCCAGAAAAAAGGTGCACATTACGCTATCTTACACTAGTTATATATACATGGAAATACCCATGAATAGAGCCCAGAAAAAAGGTGCACATTACGCTATCTTACACTAGTTATATATACATGGAAATACCCATGAATAGAGCCAGAAAAAAGGTGCACATTACGCTATCTTACACAGTATAGTATACATGGAAATACCCATGAATAGAGCCCAGAAAAAAGGTGCACATTACGCTATCTTACACTAGTTGTATATACATGGAAATACCCATGAATAGAGCCCAGAAAAAAGGTGCACATTACGCTATCTTACACTAGTTATATATACATGGAAATACCCATGAATAGAGCCCAGAAAAAAGGTGACCCATTTTCCTATCTTGCAGTAAAAAATCCCCAAGACATCCGTTAAAATTCTACACACTGCTATTATACTATTGCTGCAAAACAGGGTTGTCCAAACACAGTAACGGATCCCACCACTGCATACATACGTACCTACGTATGTTCCATGCGTTGGTGTGTTAAACGTTTGCAGGAGGTGCTGGACCACAGAGCCCACATGCAGTTTGTGTTGCAGTTGAGTGACATCCCAGACCCTCGAAAACCCGTACTAGTACAGCAGAATAAAGTCCGGTCAGTTTCCCTTGCAAGGACACTCAATGTTGACGATATAAAGTATAAGAATTAGTAGTGCCTAGCACAATAGAAGAAGGAGTATGGAGGAACTTACTGTCACTCACACAATCCACAGGCGATGTCTTCAGACCATCCGTTCGCTGGAGAGAGAGGTTTATTTGACACAGAGACCAATGGAAGCGGGGTCAGTTAGCAGAGCTGTGTGTAGCTCAGATATGTATGTGCAACCAGACAATATATGTTGGGTTTACTTATCCCTATGTGCTCCTCTCCCCCTCCCTTCCACAGTGAAAAGGAGGAGGAGGAGAGGCTGGAGGAGGAGTTGGAGGGAAGACTGGAGGCTGCCAAGGAGGACCTCTCCGTGGCCACCATGAACCTCAGATCCATGATCAGGGCCTTCAAGGAAAGCAGACTTCTGTCTCAGCCCGGGCAGTTTGCTGGTGAGCTCTCTATCACTACCATCATGGGTAATACTTGAATTTTAAAAGCTTTTTGAGCCTCGATAGACACTGATACGCTGCAGGAGGTTGCAACATGACACAGTGCAAAGTCACAGCAATTTTGACATACATGACGCAGAATCGCATTGTGTTTGGCCCTCAATGACGTCGTGCAATGTCACAGAGTGTAGAAAGGTTTTGTGCCAACATTGGCAAATGTACCACAATGTCAGGCTCTTGTGATGTATTGCTGTTGTGTGATTTATATGTGTATCATACATATTAGGAGTGCCAGAGCCAGTGCAGCGTATAGAGATATGGTTGGACGATGCTCACTGGTGGCTCACACAGAAGGATGGGCAGCTCGAGATAGCCGACATCAGTATTAACAACTTCAGGTATCCATCCACCACTTTACTACTTGTATTCTAGTTCTTACACATGGAAGATTTTGCTGTTGAAACTGCACCAACAGGAGAAATTTTCAGTCCCTATTTTAGTGGTTAAACAGCATGCAAGAGTGGTTCCAAGGGAGAGAGAAGGTGTCCTCATTTGAAGAGTGTCCTTTTGAGTGGTTTTTGAGAGGGAGTTCTACTTTATGTTGTCATTTACCCTGTTTCTCTGTGTGTTGTGTGGCAGCTACAACAGAGTGTCGTTCAGTGATGACTCGGGAGAACACAGGTTGGAGCTGGGATCATTCTTGGTTCATAACCTCACACCCAACACACCTGCTATTTACCAGGTACGTACGCACCATGTATATCAGTCACATAACAAAATCTAAATGTAACAAAAACCTTTTGCGGATACCATTTTCATGAGAAAAGTTTACGCAAACGCAGTCAGCCAGCATGTGGGGTGTGCTTATCTGTAAAAGAATACTTCCGTGATTCCACCAAGTATTATAATGGTAAGTAATGTTTATGTAAAAGAGCACACTTGGGGTAAAGCTGGGATTTAGTGCAGGTGACTCATTTTGTGTGTTTGCGACCTGCACAGCAAGTGCTGGTACCCTATGACCCCAAGTCGAGGCGGTTGCGTGTGGACAGAAACATCTGCCTCAGAGTCTACTGCAGGGACAAGGCGAGAGGTTAGCCAACCACCACCATCCTAGACACCAAACCTGCACCTCACATGTGCATCCCCACAATGTGTAATGTGCATCCCTTTTATTACGAAACGCTGAGGCCAGGATTCAAACTCGGGTCCCATGTGCCACTAGTGCAGCACTAGCCCACTCAGGATGTTGCAGACTGGCTATAGCACAAATTAATTATGACCAACAAACACATACCGCATTATGCGCCAAGAGAGCTTTAACCATGTCCAAAGGACACTTTAGGACACTTTTCAATCTCTCTCTTGCACTCCATCTCTCCAGTGGCTGGCATTACAGTGAGAGAACATCTCGAAGTAAACGTAGTCCCACTTCAGGTAAGTTACCACATGTACCATGCGTACGTACGTGTAGGTATATAGGCTCAATGGTGCTGTATGACACTGACGTGTTGTCTCCAGGTATCTCTGACGGCCAAGTTCTTCCAGACCATGCAGGACTTCTTCTTCCCCAAGACTGAGGGAGACGGGCCGGACCCTCTGGAACCTGACCACTCCCACCTCTTTGGAGTCCACCGTGAGACACTGTAGCTTGCTGGGTACCCCAACTGGGTACCCATACAGCTCCGCCGTTCCTCCTTGACCTTCGGCCATAGCGGATCACGTTTCGCGCATGCGCATACGTTCAGTTACTAGTTGCGTAACATGGCTGCTGCGTGTAGAGACGTTGGCCCTTTAACATGTGCCAGATGTGGCAACTGAACTGCATGTACAGTGGATCCCCTCTCCAAAGAGCCTTTTAGAGTTGGTTATACACTATCGTCAACTTCATAGCTGCATGCGTAATACCCGCTGGAGCCCTGGTGGAGGTGTATGGAACCTGCTTTTAAACTGCTCTGTAAATATACAAAATTTCCGCCCTTCTATTCACAGCCACCCAGTCGTTTGGTGGAGACACGACAGACGGTAATTCTATGCAGCGAGGCTCCTCGTATCGCAGGTCCACCATCTCTACCTCTGCCAGTCACGCCTCCCTCCAGCAGGCTGGCTACTCCCCTCCTGCCTCACCCACACCCAGGGAACCGCAGGTGTGGTAGGTATAGGTGGCACCAGTGTCAATGCAAGGTGTTTGCAATGACCAGCCTATGCTTACAATGTACTTCATCTGAGGTTCAGCTACAGTTGGGTTTGAGTTTACTCATTTGGCCGAAATTCGCGCAACAGTACTGCATGTAATAGCATGTAATTTTAGGTTACAACTAGGCATGTCTAAATGGTACAGTGTCTAAGTGCTGTATGGAGGGAGTATATAAGAGGGAGGATAGAAGGGAAGAGGAGTTTCTCGCTAGTACGTACACTGAATGCGTGTTCACGATGTTCAATTTACAGGGTCGCCGAGGTAAACACTTGAGTCTCTCTCACCTGGACACTGTGGAGAAAATGAAGGTATGTACTACCAGACCAGAAAACACTATAACTCTCGTCCACTCTTCGCCTTGTGCTTCGTGCCACAGGAGAGAGCATCTCACATCAACACCTTTATCTACGTCAAGATTCCCCAGACCACTCTCTGTATCACGTACAAGGTTATAGTGGCTGCATGTCCGATGTACAGTAGCTGTAATACTGTGGGTGTGGTTGTTGGTATATAGGGTGACTGGAGCTACAAAGACCTACAGAACCAGGTCATGAACATGCCCACACTGGAGTATCATAACAGGTATACTGGTATAGTGGGAACATTTTAAGTAGTATCAGAAAAGCGGGAAAGAAGAAACACTGTTTTGCATGGTGTGCCCTTGCAAGGTGAATGCTTACTGCATTTGCAGCCGCTTTAAGAAAATACAGCATGCACAAAAATGCAGTCTTTACAAGCTCAATGTTGCATTTTCGTCTGTCAGAAACTTGACGTGGAGAGACATGCTGATGGAGGTCAAGAGAGACTACAAGAATGCCATCATCCACCAGGTATGTGCAGTACCACGGTCAGCACAGTGTCAACGTGATGTGTGTGGACCCCCCCCCTTCCATGTGCAGACTCTAAAGAGTGCCATAGGAATGAAGGAATCTGAGGAATCTTCAGGTCTTGCTTCACCAAAACTAAGGTAATGGAGCTCAATGTGAATGACAGTCAAAGAAAAGGACACATGATGTACAGGAATGTCTGGGCATGGTCAGCAGCACATACCAGTGGCAAAGCCTTCTGGGGATGAATCTCATTAGTTCAGAATCACAAGTGCTGCACTCCTGGTAGCCTTTATAAACTCGTGATGCCAGAGAGAAAGTTGCAGTATGCTCCGCATCTTTTTTTATCTTGGCATCACATGGTCTAATACCTTCATGGGTGTAGAGATGAAGCAACGAATGACTTTCTGTTTCAGTGTATGTAATAATGCATCACACTTTTCTCTGTTCAGACGAGACAGTGACTTGCTGTTCCAATCAAACAAGGTAAGGTTATAATTAGGCACATTGTGTGTTCACGGCATATCTATCTCCTGCCAGAATTCAAAGGCCGGAAAGGGAAAGAAGCTGTTTGGCAAACTGAGCAGCATGAAGGAAGACAGTGACAGTGACAAAGGTACTAACACACACTCACTGAAAGACATGCATGTTTGTTCAGATTGTACGTATTGATTAAGGAGGTTGTTGTATCGTTTACTGGATTCCTAGAGGAATAATGTGAATTCCTAGAAAAGCTCTTGGGTAGAATAATTGCCGAGCGCGTTAGCGTGAGGCAACTACTCCGGGTTGTATTCTCGTACGTGTCGGTCACGCTTAAGAATGTCAATTAGTCACGCTTGGGGAATGTCAATTAGCCACGCTTAGGAATGTCAATTAGTCATGCTTAGGGAATGCAAATTAGTCACGCTTAGGGAATGTCAATTAGTCACGCTTAGGGAATGCCAATTAGTCACGCTTAGAACGTCAATTTCCGCCGTGCGCGCAGATTCGTAGGAAGTCTGGCTTCGCAGCGCAGTCAGTAGAGCGCGCGCACGAGCGGCCTCAGTCGGACTGTTTACGCATTGGCTGGCAGGCGCGAGGCAAAATATGCGCGTGCGCATTCCTAGTATACACTAGCATTGTGTCATTGTGTCCCGGACTGCCACTCCATCATTTCTCATAAGCTCCAAAATATGTGTACTAATCCCCACTAGAAATGAGTCCTGGGGGATCAGCAAGTCCTGTTCCATTCCCTCCCCTGAGAGACCAGGAGACGAACCTCAAGAAAACCCTCCAGAGACTCACCAAACTCTCACAGGAGGTCAAGAAATAACCACCAACAACAACAACAACCATCTCATATTGTGTATGACCGACTGATAGTGTCTCAGAATTATGTGTGCATGTGTGCAGTATAATGATCTATGTACAGTGGAACCTCGTTAACATGAACACGAAATACCTGCTTAATACGTATGAACCACTTTGAAATCCCCACGCATTATAGGACAAATCACTAAGTACGGTAGGGGTATTGTAGAGCAATGATAATAAGTCTCGAAAATGATATATAGTGGTTGTATGAGATTGTTAGTAGTTGAGAGTGGCTGCTACTGATGCAGCTTTCTGTCTTGCTCGTTGGAAGACATCTATAATATAGAAAGGAACAACACTCAAGATTTGGAAGAACAAGCTAAGACAGTCATAATTATAGGAATAGAGTCTCACCTAGTGTGGCAGCAAGGGACGTCCTCAGGCCACCATGTCTGCAGGGAGGCACAGTAACATCAGCTCTCAATCATTCTCACACAAAAAGACACACTTCTGACTGCTCTGATTGACTGTTCATGATGCATGATTGTTGTTTGTGTGTGTGTGTGTCTATTTACCTGCTAATGGCATGATTCAACTGCTCTGATTGAAACCTCTGCACACTTGAGCTACAACCAGACAACAACAGCATAATGATCATCTGAAGGTGCTGTATATACCTGCTTTGATGAATAATGTTGAATCTGAAGTCGACAGTACCAGATGACTCGGTCTGAAATCCATACTTACTTAGGTGCCTTCCCTGAGAATGATGAGCCGATCGCAACATGTCAATCCTGATCACTCTAACATTCACCAACTCACCTCAAAGTCAGAAGGTTTGGAGATGTACGACATTTCCCTCAGTCTCGAGGCCCCGCCCACAAAGAACCTCCTCAGTGTGTCCACTACTGGGGTACCACTTGGTCTCCATGTCCCCACCTCAACCTCGTGCACTCCTGAAACACAGACACACCTCATCAAGCAAGTCGTTTTTTGGGGGTCCCTTCCCCAGATTTTTCTGAGTTCAAATTTCCCACTCTCTGGTGAAAAAAGGTTATGCTGGGATAGTACAGGTGTGAACCTATACAAAAAGCATATATACTATACACTATATGTTCTAATGTACCGGGTGAGCTGGGAAGAGGTAGGTGGCCATACCCCTCCACTCTGTGCCTGTCCCACGAATCCAGGGAGCATACCTCCATCAGTACACACGGCCAGTGAGCCAGATCATCTGCAACACACACAACATTTACCATTCAAATCGCAAACAAGTAGAGTAAAGAGATAGTAGCTGTAAGATCTGCTATAATGTCTGCCATACCTTCTATGGTTGTAATGTTGTGGTAGATGAGATCGTACTCAAACGGACAGTTGAAGTTGGCAACATTGTACTGAAACACAGAAGTAACAGTGATCATGGAATGTGCCAACAACGAGGTGAGGTACAAGCAAGGCAAAGGTCAAATGAACTACACCTTGACTTGACTGACTTACCAAGTGTTTTGACTTTGTTCTGGAGATTTGTGTCACAACGGACAACTCTTGGTCTCCACTGACCTCCCAGACTGGCAACGACACACACAACACAACACGAGCATGGCAGGAGAAGTAGTAGGCACTGTGATGCGGTGTTAGCGATCATTAGCTTACATTCAGGGAGCTGTAGCTGTGCGGTGACATAGATGTCATTGTATTCAAACCCTTGTGCAGACACTGGGAGGAATAGAGAGAGAGAACTATGAAAATAGAACATCATGGGTTCTGTCTTTATGTACATATCAAAATACGTATGCCTTCAATTAAACATGTCTTCAGCCGTAAAGTAAGCATTGCCAATGAAATATGCACAGACGTACCTATTTCACCTAGCAAGACAACGGACAAAGCACCTCCCTCTGGCTGCAAAAAGAAAGTTTTCCTCAGCATACAAAACCTGCCAATGGCTACTCAACACACGACACAGCAAGAAATACAGTGGACTACATAATTATAGAGGTTTACAAAAGTGGCAGGTTAAAATAACTGCACCATAAAGAGCATTGCTTACAGGATCAGCGAATTGCGTGCCAACAAGATTGTGAAGTTGCTCGGCCTTTCTGCGGTAGATCTGTTGGGATCCAAACAGATGTACGTAAAAGCAAGAAAGTATATACTAGGCAGGCACCTCTTCCTGTAGGTTCTTCTCCTGGTCTATGTGCTCTGGAGGTACAGGTTCCATCACCTGGTGCAGTCGATACTCATACACATCTAGAGCAGGGAGAAAGAGAGTGTAAGACATAATGCATAATACAATGACAAGCACAAAGTAGAGAGAGGGTCTGTACAAGAAGCTGCGTAGCACCAGGGGATCTTATGTACTCCTGGTAGGATGGAGAGATAAAAGAGAGGGTCTTCAGCTAGCTATGCAACATGTATAGTATTACAGAGAGTGAGCTAGCATACTGCATGCAGAGACAGTGAAGGATAGTGTATATACATATATACCTCTGTTTCTGGTCTCAATTCTGTACGGAGTCTGCCCACTGTTGAAGTCTGGTTTCACAGAGACTGCTCCACCATCATCCACCTCAATATTACACCACACAACAATACACACTGTGAATGACATACACACTTCATCATAGACTAAACTCTTATACCTGGATGAGGCAGAGAAGGTGCTCCTCCCATATATCAATCCTACAGGAATATGTGGTACATTTATTACAGCATTTTGCAATGTCAAAGCAATACTACTTATCACGATTAGGTAAACATTTCTTTTCATTTCAGCAAAAAGACCACAAAAAAATGAGTGACTCTCGGACGCATTCTTTGGCCCCAATTTGCTGCATCCACATGGAAGAGTGAAAGGAAATTGAAATTTGGCTGGAAGTAGAGGAAATAGACCTTGTACTATGCTACTGTTCCTACCCTTCCACGGAGTGGGTAAGGTCGGCCATGATGTACATGGACTGTAGGGGAGGTGTGGGTACACGATGGGCCAGTCTCTCCTCCACAGTGGGTCGCTCCAGAACAGGCTCTTCGTCTCCCACACCTGCCAGCCTGTAACCACGTCAAGAGGATTGCACCAACTCTGACAGCCATGAATTATGCCTATATATATAATACCATGCTGAGTGTCGTTGTACTGTATGCACGTGTAACGTAAACGCATAAGTGCTGGCATGGATTATTGTTTGTCAAAAGCCCATATCTATATGGGATTGTGTAGAAACTTGCACAGGATCCTTAAACTTTGTGCATCCTCTAAGGAGGCTAACATGGCACAACGCACACTTTTGTTTTGTGAAACAAGTCTCATGCAACTTGGGTCCATGCGATTAACACTTCTATTTCCGTGCACTATTTTGCGTGGACTATCATATACCATACATTGAAGTTGCAGAGACGTTCTTGCACCGTGACATACGTTGGCCTTTAATCGTGCTGTACTACATGCACACGCGCATTTACAGTTGTTTCCGGGGAGGTCGTCTTCTCCTGATGGCTGAGCTGCTGAAGTACCGAGAGGCAAAAGTTGGCTCTGACTGACTTGGCTCTACGACATTTGGACTCCCACACTGAAACATACAGATGAACAAGTTACTTGTACTAGTGCATTCTTAATGTAACAAAGCAACACAAGTGAATCTGCTCTGCGACCGCTCTGCGACATACAGGCAATATCTAAACTGAGTGTAACTCCAGCAAAGGCCCTGTGGCCCAATGGATAAGGCATCTGACTACGAATCAGGGGATTCCAGGTTCGAATCCTGGCAGGGTCGCTTTTTTCTAAATTTTTGCACTGACCAGCTCTGCAGGGATGTTGGGTTGGTCTCCTTCAATGTAGCAAAAGAGCCTGCCATTTTGTCTCCCACCCTCTTGCCTGTGCATAATAATGTTGCCTTGTTAACAGTAGAGGCACATACACAGTGGTAAATTATGGGCATGATCATTCTGCTGGCATTCGTGGCACTACATAAGTATGCATAGGAGCACAGTCCTTTTGGGCTATCATAATGTATGCATGTACTGGGTGTGAACAGTGTGTGTCTTGCAGAACCCACCTCAGCCTGGCAATGTCTCTGCTGTATCTACTCTCAAGGGCACTAGTGCAGTTGTAGGCATCACCATAAAATTCATATTCTCGCTGCAGTACAGAACACCAGAACAACACACACACACAGTGCAGAGACAGGTCTATGGAGATAAGAGTAGGCTTGGTTGGGGTTACCTGGCTAAAAGCCTTCTTCTGCCAGGAGAAAATGTATGATTCTGCCTCTGAACAAAGTACAAAGATAATGGCAGTGTATAAAGCTAATATCGTGAGAATTCTACCTTGCTGATGAGTATTACTGCCAGCCATTCTTCCACCATGGCTCACTTTGGACAGATGCACTCTGAATGCAGTGGTACAAGTACATAGCTAAGATGCGCTATAAATGGAGTAACGAAATATATCTGACGCTAACCTTATGCAGAAGTTCTTCAGGTCATCTTCAGTTCTATAGAGATGTTGTGTATGCTCCATCCTTGCGTTGTTTTTCAGTTTCAAAACCTGAGCCAGCCCCACCCGCCCTTCGGTATAAGCGCGCGACACTCAATTAATTGTAATAAGCGCTCACCCCGTCAACCACACGCGCGCTCTCAGCTAGGGGTGGGAACACACGAGTCGAACTCCCTGTAAAGTATCCAGTCTCGCTGTGGTGTTCTGGGGGCAGTCAGCGTGAAAAACGTCGCCATTAGAGGTGAGTGTAGCGTTTTAGAGCCCTATACTTGAAAGCTCCCCTGTTATATACGTTCCTGTATAAAACCTGTAGTGTTGCCGTGTGGCGGCCTATCGCATCGTTGCAGTGTCGTTGGAAGGAGAGGATTGTGATACTGCATTTTACACCACCCACCTTGCTACGTAGGTATTGCATGTTGTGTATAATTACAACTCAATATTGATGTACGTGATGTATGTATGTATGCATGTGTGAATGTGCAGGTGTAGAGAGTGGTCAGAATGATGGGACTCTCTACCAGACAGATTCCATACATCAGTGCTACCATCGTCCTCTTTGCTGGAGGAATACTCTTCTTTGCTTTCCCGTAAGTTTACAATAATGTTCAGTATCATCAGACACTGCTTGCTCATTCCATATTCTTGCCATAGTGGGAGTGCTGTTTGTATGTTGTGCCAACATGTCCATCATTAGGTGGTATAAACTGCACCTTGCGTACTTGGGCTTGCTTCAATTAGAATAGTGAGCAACAAGGCCGCTACACCTCTAATGAACATGTGAATTTTTGTCAGGGATAAGTTTGAATTGTCAGGTGAATTCTGTATGTCAGTGGTTAGCAACATTGAATGAAAACCTTTTTGTGATTAAATTTCATGTGTAACATAAACACGAAATTTGATAAATCTGTCCTTTGCTCTCCTTCCTCCCAATCACCCCCTCTCTCTCCTTTGTTCATTCTTTGTACGGTACACATTCCCCCTTGGCAATCATGGCTGCTTTGTGTTACCTGCGTGCACAGTAACGTATATGCCACGATGGCCAAACTTAGCCTACAAAAATTTGGATTAGAAACAACAAATTTAATGCCTGCCAGGATAAATGTATTACTCCTCACTCCTCCTCCTACTCCTCCTCCCCCTCCTCCTCCCCCTGCTCCTCGCCCCTATCTCCTCCCCTTCCTCCTCGTCCTCATCCTCGCAGTATCCGGAACCTCTTCCTCCACTACCAAGAGCAGGGTGTCCTCATTGTCATACCTGTGGTGGGCACAGTCTACATGGGACTCCTCTTTCTCTTCGTCGCAGCTAACTTCTTTCTCTGCTCATTTGTTGACCCTGGCATCTATCCTCGAGGTAAGGAGTCACGTATATAGAGTACCCCTGAAATGAGGACACCTTTACTCCCCAAGAAAGGTTCTTGCAAGAAAAAAACCCAAACCTAACTGATACAGGCACTATTGGTGTCCTGGTTCTACAAGAGTATAGTGTTTCTATGAGAGTGCTATAATTATACATGCTAGCTGAAAGGAAGCGAACACTGTAACTGTATGACGTGTTTGCTGTCCTGTATACACAAGGGAGTGAAACAATATAGCACCACTAGAACCTTGTCAAGATGACTGGCTACGTAAAGTATGTTTATGGCGAGCGGTGTTTGGCTCGTGTGCCACTGTGTATATAGTTCCCGTGGCGCTTACTGTCTCGTTGTGCATTACTCTGTCAAACCGTCGTAAGAGTTTCAAGTTCTGGGGGGTTGGGGCTCTGACTGACTCGATGTGATTTGGTATGTTGGCCGTCTGACCATCTGTGTGGTTGGCAACACGTGGTGTCGTAGCTCGCTTTGAAGCTGAATGAATTGCTCCCCTCCGCTGCTTGCCGGAGCACGTTGGCAACCGGTGGTATGCGTCAACCCATACAGTCTGCATCTGTTGGAACGTGTATTATCAGCACATGTAGTGTATCATTATAGACACTGTGATTCATACAGTGATTCATACAGCGTACTACTGACAGCTATATTATACTAGCAGACCATACATCTCTGTGTACACTGGCTCTATTGAGATGCACCTGTATTAACAACTGCCCAGTGTGTAGTGACTAGCGTGGAAAGTGGAAAGGTACACATCTCTAGGTATTCTTTATCCACATCCACAGTAGTGTACAGTGTCCAAATAAGGGAGTGATTAATGTAATACCCATGCACATACTGGCAGTATACACTCAGTGCCCAGTGGGGAATTTCCACGTGAGAGAAAAATTGCCATTTTCAATATTGAAGAGCCGTTGTGCATACGTGAAAGTTTCTCTAGTGAAAAGTTATTCCCTCCAATGTTGTTGGTTTCCCACAATAGATCACAGTGTTGTGTTGCAGCATTACATACACCCATACTGTTGCCCTGTCCTTCCCCTCCCCTCCTGCAGAGCATACGGACGAAGAGGACGACTTTAGGCAGCCGCTGTACAAGGTGGCGGAGGTCAACCAGGTTCAGGTGCGAATGAAGTGGTGCGAGACGTGCAAATTCTACCGGCCTCCTCGCTGCTCCCACTGCAGTCTCTGTGACAACTGCGTCGAGGTATATACACATGCGTACAACGTGTTTAGCACACAATGTTTAGAGGACACTCACCGGGGGAAACATGTTGACTGATGGACTTCTAGTTTACTAACATGCCCATTTCCCGTGAAATAGTACTAATAGCTTGGGGGTTAAAGCAGGTGCTTGAAGACAGGTCATCCACTGAACTACAAATAACCCCTCTGTTCTTCACAAAAACCTCATGCAACGATGAAAATCCCTTGGAAATTCATAAATTCTGAAGGAAATGTTGATGAGCAAGCATGAGTTAAGGACACTGTGCATTGTACATGGTATCAGTCAGTGCCATGTCAGTGCCAATAGTGACATTATGGGTAAAAATGCTGAGTTCAGACTACCAGGTTGGCTTACAAACCATCCTTGAAGCTTTGAACCAGCAGCACTCAAAGGAGACCTCTATACCACATAATTATTATCCATCAGAGGTGTATTGTGACACACTGCCACATGTGTGGGTAGAATGTATGGTGGACTATAGTGGGAGAGTGTGGCTGTTCAGTGGAGCATGAGATGGTGTGCCTGACTCCTGCCGTGTGTTGGAATGTACAGATCACCTTCTCTCATACGATGGTCCACCTGCCCCCACACTATTAGCTGCTAGCTCTTCTAGCTGTCCCGTGGGGGTTTGAATAATACTAGTGCAGATTTGAATACTGAGTGCGGCGGAATTTATTTCCTCCGCTTTATTAGATCTTACTTCTAACATCTCACACTCTGTTTAGCTCCAAACCTCAAGGAGAGTGTTTATGCATGCAGCTATAATTTACGTATGCATGTGCAGTTAAAGTGATACACAGTCTCGCGTGATAAAACACTACAGCACTATCTTGCATTTAATATGCACTAACGCTTTCAATTCAGTGAAAGGTGCCGATAGGACTCAGGTCGCATGTCCTGCAATACCAATACTCTGTGCCTGCATAGCAACCGTTTACAGGTTGTCAGTGTCTCTGAGACCTTAAGACTATTGACATTTTTCTCCCTCAAAGGTTTTTCCTACTATACAGTACTACATTTGCTGCTGTTGCTATGCATTCGGGTACCTGCACATTCTCCTCCTTTCACAGAGGTTTGACCACCACTGCCCGTGGGTGGACAACTGCGTGGGGCGCCGGAACTACAAGTACTTCTTTTTCTTCATCATCTCCCTGAACCTGTTCATTCTGAGTGGATTTGCCTGGGGTCTCCTCTCTATATGGGTCCACAGGGACGACCTCCGGAAGGTTGTCGTAGAGTATCCCCACAGTTAGATACCTTCGTAACAACTTTCACTAGTGTACTTCATGGCGATAAACTGAGGAGGAGAATTTTGTGTACACATTTTGTAGTTTTGTAGGTTGTCTGCAAACTAGGCTCTCTGCCTGAAAAGCATGAATGTGTGTGGCTTTATTAGCTGTAGTATAGGGATGTAGCTGTGCTGACTGAGTGGCTTTTCATGTGGCCACAGTCCCTTTGTTGTCGGTGTTTTGATGTTTTAAACTAAGCTGTGGTGTCTGCCCAAGTATGTATGAGTCCTTGACTCAGGTTCTGTCAGATTTGTCCTCCTGTTTTTGGGAGTGTTGGTGTTCATCCCCGTCGTGGGTCTTGCTGGGTTCCACATCGGTCTAGTGGGCTTGGGCCGAACTACCAACGAACACGTAACGTTTTGACTCCCTTCTCTCTCCCCTCTACCTATCATGTGTATTCACAAACTACAGTAATGACAAATTACTTCATAATTCACGAGTGAAGCGAGCCTGCCTGGTAATATGTTTTTATAGCCTTCACTTGCCAAAATGTGTTGCATTTTAACGTACACCGGTAATGGGTATTTGTGTACCTCCACCTCACGAAGCCTACTACACTCTACCACTCAATGGAAGATGAGTCACATGCCAATTTCCTGCTACTGTAGTAATCTTCCCACATAATAGTGTGCTGCTGGCATGCTTTACATGTGATGTTTTCTTTGCAGGTGACTGGAAAGTTTAGGAATGCACACAATCCCTATAACATGGGTTGTTGTATGAACTGCTGGAATATTCTCTGCTCTCCTAAGAAACCGAGGTTTGTACCTATATGTTGCAGTGCCCAGACAGGACAGCATGAGCCCTGTATGGGCGAATGCTGTCCTGTCTGGGTACTGCAACAGATTTGTTGGATATCCCTAGGCAAATGACATGTATGAACCCTGCTTGCACATGTAGGATTGTATAGGCTGATAAAACCCCCCAGTACCTAGCTTCATACATGTCGGTTGCCTAGGGATATCCAACAAACATACATACGTACACTTACTTCATGTGTAGATCCATACATAGTGCATGCGTACATGCCAAATGTTGGATGGCCTGCAGACCTTCTAAGTTCACGTGTAAGTCCACAAGGTTGATACTCTTGTGTCTCCTTCCTCCATCTCTCTCTCTCCCTCTGAAGGTACATGCACTACAAGACAAGGCCTTACCTGGAGTCAGAGGGGAGAGGAGGAGCAGTAAGGACAGTCACCAACACCAGCAGACCCATAAATGAGATGCAGTGTATGCCGGTCTATGAGGAACTGGACCCTACAGACGACAACCTCTTCCCTCGACCACAGGTACACAATTACTGGGTCAAGTTTATTTACACAAAAACTTTACAATTGCACGGGTAATGCAGATCACCCTGCTTGTGTAGGTTTACAATCACGAGCCTCTTTATGGCTGACACTGCTGTTATGTGATGGCATATGTACACTTTTTCCCCTGTAAAATACCACAAACTTGCATTAAGCCTTGCATTAGGCAAGGAGCACATAATGCCCAGACTGCATGCAGAGTATCGTGGGTTTATCCCACCTAGGGCAGCTCTTTTTTTTGGAAAAAAAAAGAGCTGTCCTGGGTGTAGTTAACTTGTTTGTGGTGCCTTTGGCTTTCTACCTCGTAGTTAATATGTACTGGATGGTCTGGCTGGGCCTGGTCTCATCTATGACTTAGCAATTTCACCAACAATGTTCTTCCCCTTACCAATAACTCTCCCTTCCTTCCCCTTTTTACACTCCCTATTCATCTACCCCCCCCCCAGAATCACCATCCTCACGCAGTCAATGGTGGTAACCAGGGCCCGGCCACTGGTGCCATTCCTGCAACCGCTTCATTTCAGACTCCCGGGAGTCACGTTAACCCTCTCCACTCTCAGAACCAGCAGCACAGACTGTCTAACGGGTTACTGTCCCCGGGCGAAGTAGCAATGGCAGAAGTGACAGTTTGACGACTATTCTCCTTCTCTCCCTATTCTCTCTCTCTCTGATCTGTCTGTCTACTGTCTCCACATGGCTGCCACTGCCTACGGTAAGGGTCTGCACTCAGGGTCTATAGTAAACACATTGTACTGGGTTTCAATGCTGGAGGTATATAGGGTGGAACACATTAATAATGTTGCTTGCTGTGCAAACTGATCCCACAGGAAACTTTTATAGGAGAGAAAAATTAAACATATGCGAACATTTTTTGAGTGTGAAAGCTTTCTCTGCGACATAACAGAATTTTCCCCCAATGTAAAGCTACAAGTATAGTTCGGTGTAGCCTGCAATACTGTAGTATAATATTATATCTAACTGGCTCTTTTCTCTCTTTCTCTTTTGCAGTTTTTACATCACACTTCAATTCTGCATCATCATAGCTATAATATATTCTATATGTCACCTGTTATGTGTATACTTTTGTGTCAGTAGAAATCGTTTTGCATGCCTGTATAAAGACACTTGCGCATGCGCGTTGACGTAAAGGTACCGTTTATACGCGCATGCGGTTCCCAAAAGAGGGCGCGGCTGTCATCTTACTCTCAGGCTTCGCTTACTTTTTGGAATTGTCCTTGCGTCAAAAATGGCCTCGAAAAGAAGGTAAGCACAGATTTCGCGACACCATTGTAAGTATTTTACCTTTATAAAACCTTCATTGGGCCAGATTCGACCCTGCCAGCCTCGAAGGAGTTCCAAAGGGCGAGAGTTTCGCCATCCAAATCACAGGACTCTTGCACTCCGTACAAACGTCTTGGTTTGAGAGTACGTTCAGTAGCTACGGCCCGATATCCGGCGTGGACAGAGAGGAAGGAACGGTGTGCATCTACTTTAACACTCGTGAAGCAGCTGAGGCTGCTTGCAGAGAGATGAATGGAGAGACCATTGATGGTAGTGCTTTACGTGTGAGACTCGTCTCGCCGCCATTGCCTTCTCATCGTTGTGTTAGTGGTACAGTAACTACTAGCGCTACTAGCACTGTTGAAGTCAAAGGAGATGTACATTCAATCAAGCTAACCAACATCCCACCCTCCATAGATGAGACGAGTCTTCTTGAGAACTGCCATAACCTTGCAGGTTTCTCTAGCCTGAAACTAGTTAAAGTAAAGGGTGCTTCCACAAACTATGCCTGGGTGAACATCAGAAGTAGTGATGCCATTCCGGCTCAGAGGGTGTTAAATGGAATGGTCCTAGATGGCCACACAGTTAGGGCAAGCCAGCCTAAACCTTACAGTCAAAAATGTACAGAGCAATACATTAATGAGGTGGAGGAAGAGGCACAAATTCGAAGTTCAGACTTGCCAAGAAGGTTTAGCTTCAAGCTGTCAGATAATGTGAACACAGGACTTCCCACTACTGTCCCAGCAGTTCAGCCTGGTGCGATTGCCATGAAAAACCTTCCCATGCTGCCTTCTGACTCACAGAGCTTGTTTCAGCCAGTTCGTTGTGGGCTTGACTTGTCCTCTGCCCATAGATCAATGCTGTCCACCCTCCCAGTGACATCCTCAGGCCACCCTGTGCCTTTAAACACTCTCCAAGGTGAAAGTACTAAGAGTACTACGGAAATTAGCAATGTGTCCACCACTGTGTCAGGGCCTGGGCACACGTGTGTATCACCCCACAGTTTACCAGCAGCAATACCACGTCCCACTCAATGCAAGAAACACGAGACTAAAATAAGTCCTTCAAGGCTTGTAAATGTCAATACAACTCTTCCGAGGGAGCTTATAGTTCGTACACCACGGGAACATAAGGCTACTCAACCACGGGAACGCTCTACACAACCACTCTCCCTCAGTCAGTCCGAGACGCAACGAGTCACATTGTCTGAAGCATCCACAATAATTGAAAGGGAAACACAGAGACGGTCTGAAAAAGAGGCAGTGCAAATTTCACAGATCCCTTTGTTAAAATGAAACGAGCAAAAACGCTTCCTGCAGCTTCAACACAGTTGAAGAGCACACATGGTCCGGTAAGTCCCAGTGATAGGGTAGGCAGATGGAAAAGCATAGTATCTGAAACTGAGGAAAACAGAGTGAGTGCAATTCCCCAGCCTTCAATTCGACACACACAAACTGCACCTGCAACTTCACTTTCAAGATCACCCACTAAGGATCCAGTAGTAAGTCCCAGTAGCACAGCAGAAAGAGGAAGTCTTTTCAAAGACGATTCCGGAGGCAATCCTTTTCAGCAGGCGCTTGCACGTTGTACTTCACCTATACCTCAAATGCAGACACCAGCAGTGCCACCATCTCCACAGCAGACACCAGCAAAGCCACCATCTCCACGGCCAACAGTCTCCAAGAAAAAGCCTCAAGTCTCGGAGACGGTCGAGTGCTCGCACCTCACAAGCAAGAGAGTCCTGTTCTCCAAGCACGGAAGAGAGCTCGAGGCTCTTCGGGAGAAGTATGGAGTCTCATTGAGAGGGGATGAGGTGGAAGGTGTAGCCCTAAGTATCACCGGTGAGATGAGGAGTGTCCAACAAGCAAGGAACAAAATTATTGACCTTGAAAAGTGTGTTCAAGCCAGCATTTCTTGTGCGACTTTCACCATGAGCTGTGCCTTCCTACCATGTCTTGCCGGGTCTGATACGGTCTTGTCCTTGCAATCAGTTGAGAAACGAAATGCTGTTGACTTTGCTGTAATGGGCGTCAACTGTCAGATGAGTCTCACAGAGTGCTCTCAGTCACTAAAAGCCAAGTTGGCAGAAATAAAGGGCCCCGTCTGCCTCTCTCAAGTACAGAGTTTTGTGGAGACTAGACTTGGTTACTTCTGGAAGGTGAGAAACACAACAACAGGCGAATTTATAGGACTCGAAGAAGTGATCAACAAGAAGATCAACATTGCATACACTGAGAGGAAGCCAACCTGTAGCTTCACATACAACTCACACGTGTACGTCGTAGACTTTTTACAAATGACTATCACTGATCAAACTCTTGAAGGGCAGGTCTACAGCCTAATAAAGGAACCGGTGTGGTGTCACTACATGGATGATGACTTTGACTACAAGCCACTGCAAGAGAGCATCAGCACCATCATAGAGTCAATTTTCCAGCAGGGTGCCCCTGGATTCATCACGATTGAAGGGGAGCAGTGTGTGGTGGATTTCCACTCAACCCCCATGCGGGCGTACAGCACAACAGGAGAGCATTCCATAATTCAGAGGCGACCAGAAGTTGACCCATCAAGCCTTACTCCTACAGTAACGATCAGAGTGAGGGGCCTGCCAGAGAAATTAGCTCCGGCAGAACAAGACTTCCGTCAGATTCTCCGAGACAAGATAAGTACAGAGGAGCTGAAAATCCCGACTAAAATCCAGGGCAAAGTCACTCAATTGCTTCTCACGACCATTGCAAGACAGTACTGTGTCCAGTGTGTCTATGGCGCGGACCAGCAAGTATTGAAACTCTCGGGGACAAAGGAAAGTGTGAGTGATGTCGCCAGACTTCTTCTGGAGGAAACAGTCAAGATAATGTCGGAGAGTGACATACCCCGTGATCAGTCCGTGACTCCACCACATTGGGTACCGCAAACCAGCGACGTACAACTGTGCCCAGTTGAGAAGGGGACTTCAGAGTGGACACACATTGAAGAAATGATGAAGGAGAGCCTGACAAGTGTAAGAATAGAGACCATTCAACGGATACAAAACAAGCACCTCTGGCAGAAGTACACCTTTTTCCGTCGGGTCATACAGAGGAGGATGGAAGGAAGGGACATCAATGAAAAGGAACTCTTTCACGGGACAAAATCAAACCATCCAAGCGTGATTTACGAATCTGAGAAAGGATTCGACTTTCGTTTTGGCTCTAGTGAGTGCCTGTGGGGTCAGGGAAGCTATTTCGCCGTGAAAGCCCGCTACTCTGATAATGGCTATGCTTACCGCCTGTCTGGAGGCTCTAAACAGCTGATCTTGGCTAGTGTAGTGACAGGTGAAAGCAAGTTCATGAACAAACGGGAAAAACTGAGTGTTCCCCCACTGAAATCAGGGAGTACAAAGGAGCGATACGACACTATAAGAGCAACCACTGGTGGGAGTGAGATTTATGTTGTTTATGACCACGAGAAAGCATATCCAGCCTACCTTATCACTTACAGAACTTGATTATTATAATGTGTTCAATTATTTAGCTTTGTCCATGAATAATCCTGAAGGAGAGTATATACTATGAGCAGGCACAGATCATTAGTAAGGAGTTTATGAGCATTTAATCAGATGATCTGGCTTTTCAGTATATGGGTGACCACGTGGAGCACATGGAACATTCGGAAACATTGCACAACAGTCTAAGGATGATGTAACAACCAAAACCATCTGCTGGGTAGTGATTACATGGAGCAAAGTAGAGAATAACTATACAGCACAACTGTCAACACAAAGTATTAAGGATAGTTGGTTTGTCTCTTTTTCCACTCACAGCTTGGACTGATGGGATCATTTAGATATACTCAGGGGCATTGGCACGTCCCAGCACTGGAAACACCCAAATGCTGTATCTCCAAAACTAAAGGGGTTACACACATCAAACCTGAACAAGTGTTTGTAAACAACAACAAACATCGACCACACCCACAAACAAGGTCACGTGATCCATAGTGGGCGTGTACCGTCCGTATTTTACGTTATTTGTTTAGACTAGCAACGGTAAGGAACTAGCCAACGAAGGAATATTTCACTTACGTCAAACAGTAAAACAAGTAGCGAAGTCATTATGTTTTGAATGGGAACTTACGAAACCTTCCCGTAGCCGTCTTATGATGGCTTTCAGGTTACCGGCTACAATTATGGCGTGGCAAATGACTCATACCTCCGCTAAACGTAAGAGCCGACCGTTCCAATCCGAGTAGGTGAAAGAGCTATCCGTCAGCTGTCTTACGAAGGCAGAGCTATAGCTCCTTCACTGCTCTCCACTTACCGTTGCCCGGTTTTAGTTAATCGTACAGCGCGATTGCTGCGTCTCTAAGAACGAATCTGAGGTCAAAGGTGAGAACATTGTGCGCATGCGCCCTCCAGCCATGCGCGCGGCGGTAAAACTCAACCAGCTGACATGACAGAGCTAGAGATGCGTCAGTCTGCGCTTTTTCTATATTCATAACAGTAGAAAAAACATTAGGCATAGTTTTAGGTACATGTACACACCCGATCGATCGACCCCCCCCCACACACGTACGTGTAAGCGCCGGCGCGCGCGCATTATGTTTTAAAATTTCTACGTACATACGCAAAATTAGATACGCGAGCTGATATGTCGGCTCCCTCCCGGCGGTGCTGTAAGTGCAACAGAACCGCCAAGTGTGTTCGCTGTGCCTGTACCAAGAGCTGTAAGCCCTGCTCGTGTGTTTGCCGGGAGGACCAAGGAAAATGTCAGAACAGGGGCGGAACGTGGCAAGAAACAATCTCACTCTCACACATCCACACCTCCCTCCTCTGCTGCCTCTGCCTCGTCCGGGGTCCGGCCTTCCAGTTCCTCCGTGTCCTCCGACGCCCGCCGTCACCCACCCGTGCCTTCGAACTCATCAGCCCTTGTCCTCCGGCTCCCGCCCTCTCGTCCTCCGTTCCACCGCAGACGCAGTCCGCATCGTCAACGATGTGGCCCCTCGCAGTGTGCCCGGCAGTGCCCACTAATCCTCCCTTCCCACCGCGCGCGTCTCCGGCTCAACCTCGACCTCTTCCTCCACCCTGGCGCCCACTTTCTCCTGTCAGTCATCCTCTCTCCGTGACGGAGGTCACCCAAGTCCCCTCCCCCCTCTGGATTCGGTACTGCGCCTGAGAGTTCCAACCCTTCAACATGTCCCCAAGGCCATTAGAGACCTTGGTCCCTACTCCTAGGTGACGTGCTCTCTGAGGTGGTGGGAAACCCTTTGCTGATCGGTCCCTGGTGTAAGCTTTTCATGTTACCCAAATGTGTATTAGCTAATCCCCCAGAGGAGGCCGGTCCCACTGGCGTGCCACCCTCAAACTGGTCCAGTCTCGGATCAGAGGTGGAAGGATGGTGATCTGTCGGGTCTGTGGTCTGATACTACCGCCAGTGTTAGGGGCCTCAGTGCTCGCTCAGTTCGATCTAAGTCGAAACCTCTATCCTGCCGAGTCTCGTCGCCGCAGCACATGCTACTCGTGCCCGGCGTGCCGTGGAAGACGGCCAGTATAGGAAGGCTATTCAGTCCCTCACATCCATGGGGCTCGCCCTCGCATCGTCCGATGTTTTTAACGAAATGCTGGAAAAACATCCCAGTGTCGACCCTCCCACCATTCTGAGACCCCTCCCCCTAATCCTATCGTAGTGTCTGTGGAGCAGCTGGTAGGTGCTCTTAGATCTTTTCCTGCCGGATCTGCCCCAGGCCCTTCCGGCCTCCGCGCCAATCACCTCAAGGAAGCTGTGTTTTGTCCCTCCCCTAATCGTGCCAAACCACACTCTCCTGTGCCTCTCAGGGTGGTTAACCTTTTATGTGCCGGCAAGCTTCCCCATGCTGTCATCCCTCATCTATGTGGCGCCTCCCTGCTGCCTTGTCTGAAAAAGGGGGGTGGTCTACGGCCGATAGCGGTCGTGAGGTTCTCCGCAGACTTACCTCCAAGTGTGCTGCCAGGGCTGTCCTCCCGGATGCTCTGCAAATTCTTTCGCCCCTGCAAGTGGGTGTTGGCCTCCCGGCTGGCTGTGAAGCCATCCTCCACTCAGTCATGAACATCCACGAAAGCCCCAGCATCCCAGCCGATCACCGTTTCACTCTCCTGTGGACTTTTCAAATGCCTTCAATTCAGTGGGACCGGACCGCATTGTTCCATGAAGTGAGGACCCGAATCCCCACCATTTCGTCCTGGATGGAATGCTCATATGGCTTTCAGCCCAACCTCCTCCTGGAAAACCCAAAACCATCCCCAGTTGCTGTGGTGTTCAACAGGGTGATCCCCTCGGTCCTCTGGGGTTCGCCCTTGTCCTCCACCCTATCGTTGAGAAGATTAGAGAGTCCGTCCCTGGCCTCCTTATTAACGTTTGGTACCTCGATGATGGTACCTTTGTGGCACCCAACAGGATCTCGCTGCGGCTCTCGCCATCATCGAAGCTGAAGGTCCTCCACGGGGGACTATTCCTGAATCGGGGCAAATCGTTCATCCATGCTCCGGATAACTCCTCCATCACCCATCCCATTCTCCGCGGCATCCCCACCTCGTCAGATGGCTTTACTTGCTGGGATCCCCAGTTGGTCCAACCAGTTTCTGTGAGGACATCTTCTCCAAGAGGGTGAGCAAACCGTTGATACCCTCTCTAAACCGCAGACCTCGAGGACTCTCAGATGGAGACCGCCCTACTCCGTTCCTGTCTGGCTCTACCCAAGGTTGCCTATGTTCTTCGCACCTGTCCCCCCGCCCTCATTCAAGAGGCTCTAGGGTCTTTCGACCGCATTATGCGTGATGCCCTCTCTGATCTCGTGGGGGCCCTCTACCCGATTGGTCCTGGGCCAAAGCCTCTCCCTTCGTCCTAGGGGGGCTGAATGTTCGTCAGGCCTCTTACATGCACCTGCTGCCTATATTGCTTCCTTCCTTCAAAGCAGACCCCTAATTTCAAGGATCCTGGGGCACGCCGCCAACCCCCCTGTCCACCTCCCTGACACCATTAGGTCTTGGCCCTGGCTTCAGCTAGGACCTGATTGGGTGTCCATCCAGGATATCGATGTTCCCCACAGTCAACACAGCCTCTGTTGTGCTATAGATGAGGCATCCTTTGACACCCTGTTGGCCTCAGCTCCAAACATTCGACTCCAAAGCCCTGGCCCTTTCGTCCGCCATTCGTCATGCCGGGGATGGCTGAACGTCATCCCGTCCTCTGCCCGGGGCCTCCACCTTCCAGACCGGGAATTCCGATTCTGCTTGCAGTACTGGCTGGGCCTCCACATGTTCGAGGAGGGTATTAGGTGTCCTGTTTGTCATGTCCCGGCTGACTCCTTTGGGGGACCATCAAGTGGGTTGCGGAGGGAAACTGCGACAGAATCCTCCGACATAACTCCCTTCGGGATGCAGTTTTTTCAGCAGCTCAGTCAGCTGCTTGGCGCCCCGAAGGGAAGTCCCCTCTCTGGTCCCCGGCACCGCAGCAGGCCCGCTGACATCTATCTCCCCTGCTGGAAAAGAGGCCGCCTGCCGCCCTGGACATCACCGTCATCTCTACACTACAGCAATCAACCGTCGGGGTGCTGCAGAAAATCAGGGCCATGCCCTTTTAGTTGCTGAGGAGAGAAAGTTTGCTTCTCACGGTGCAGCCTGCCAGGCCGTTGGCATCAGTTTCATCCCTCTCGCCATAGAGTCCCTAGGTGGCGTGAGTGATATGTATGCTGACACCATCTCCAGCCTGGGCCGTCTTTTGGGTCAGCGTTTGGGGATCTCTCGGTCGAATCTACTCGTCATCTTTACCAAAGACTCGCAATATCTCTCTGGAGGGAATGATTCTGCCTGGATTCACCGCAGTCCCAAATTGCCCCCTCTCTGGATGGGTTATTTGATCTGTGTTGTTTTGCGTGTTTGTTGTTTCTTTTGTGTGTTTCTTGTTGTTGATCTTGTAGTTTAGCTACATGTATGTACGTTGTTTTTTTTCTTCTTTTTCTTTTCTTTGTAAAGACGAAGCCATAAAAAAAATAAATAAATATAAAAAAAAATTAAAAAAAGTATACGTAACGTTGTGCGTAAAGTGCGCGTAGAATTATTTCGGGACGCGCCTTAACGTCCCTGAGTATATATTTGTTGTTGTTGTTGTTGTTGTTTTTTTTGGTTTTTTTGGTTTTTGCGTTTTGTTTGTTTTGCTTTTTATATAGCTAGTATTTAATCATTATTATTGTACTTTGCAGTATTTTGATCAAGCGTTTGGAAACCAAAAAAATAGCCCAACCCAACAGCGGTACACTACGCATATGCGCAGTTCGCCAAGGGTTTGCACTTCAGTGCTTTTCATTAGAAACAGTAGCTCTACTAACTGTTCAAGCAATGGTACTAGTACCTGCCTTATAGCAGCTACATGTATGTGACAGAGGTTAGCAACAATTTTCAACTCTACAACTAACTAAATTTTAGTCATTGATTGGCTACAAAAGTCTGGATTACGGTGAGCGATTCAGTCACTGGACATAGATCTCCAGAGTCTCAAAATTAATGTCTTCATTCGTT